GTTAATACTGCTCACACTGATACGTCGTTAATCTGAATTAGGTCGAACAAACTACTTTCGTTTTAATCGACTTTGTAAGAAAGCAAACCAAATACTACGTCGCCATAGCGTGCTGTTTAAATTAAGTGCCTATTATCTCGTCCACACAGCATATAGTTCCAATTATAAAAGAGATTGGGCTACCTATGGTATTTGTCATTAGTAATGAATGTCCTTCGTGGTTGATTTACCCAGGGTATGATAACGATTCTACTAATTATGTTAACAGCAGGGTGTCGTATGTTTATTATGATAGTTATGTGAAATTGCCTGCATGTCATATCCCGGCGGAAACTCATTTTCAGAGAGAGAGAGAGAGAGAGAGAGAGTCCTCTCATCCCCAAACACTGTACCCAAACATATTCTTGGGATAAAGATGATCTATCATATGTAAGACGATTCGCTTCTTGTTCTTAGGTCCTAAATATCCATTTCTCTATCAAACGTCCATGTTAAAATGTAACCAATTAGTCCATACCTTAAAAAAACGCCTCCCATTTCCATGTTGTCTTAAATAATTTTAACTGTCATTGAATTTTCGACGGTTGTGTGAGCTCAGAATAGAAGACTCCTAGAGTCTTTCACAGCGAATTATCACTAAAAGAATACAGAACAACTCCTTCAAATATAACGAAATTTGCGTGGCTGTAAGTGTCTCTATATTACACCAAGAATTCGGCTGTTTGTCAACAATCTTCCGCCACCAACGACTAGTGATTGTGTGTGAAATAGCTTTATTTAACGTCCGCTTCCACCGAGGTGATATCGCAGACAAGTAAATGTTATATGTACATAGTGAAATTATTTACAATGTGATTAGTGAAAAGAATTAAAGGGATTATCAAATATATAGATAAATGCTCAGAAAAAGACAATAAATGACGGGACGAGACGTTATATAACAAATGCTAATAAAAAGAAGAGCTAATAGAGACAGACATAGATATTTTACAGACAGACAGGCACACGTCGTACAGTATAATACGAACATTTGACAAAGCAAATATGAATATGGACGAAGATTTAGGCAAATAAACATAAAATGTACATATATATTTGTATAAGTAGCCTGGTCGATTTGTTCGGTTGAGACTTGTTGGTGAGTGTGGGGCCTGGTCCATTCTTCCTTCCATTTGGCCTTCCTGTCCGGTATGGTGGTTGATTTCATCTTTATTTCTGTTGTTCGTTCCTTTTGTTATTGGTTCTCTGCAGGATATTAACCTACCCGAGGTTGATATAGAGAACACGCGGGCGAAGCCTTAAATTAAATAGACTCTTCCATTAAAAGTCAACAATGATTGGATAATTGTTCGATAGTTTCCGCCAAATAATGAAAATTACCGAACTAATCACGTGATTGCATTGTTTACACATAACTACTGTCGCCATTTTGGAGTAAATATAGGTTCAATTGAAAGAAAAGCAAAAACAAAATGGATAGTAATACGTTATCAGACGAATAATCAATCATTTTTAGCCAACAGATTGGCGGTGGAATAGATGTGAATGCAAATTCCGACGAGGATCTACTAGTTGCTAGTCAAAGGCTGAAGAAAAAAATTTGGAACAAAAGGCAATATTTTCAGATAATTCTGACAGTGAACCGTGAAGGTTTTCGGCATGTTCAGAGAACTTAAACTTTGGAGTGTGTGGAGAAATAATCGAAATAATGTGGATGAAAAGAACATTTTGAAGGATATCTTAGACAAGATTTCTATCTATTTGATAGCGATGGGTGTTCTCTTGTTTAAGACGGTATTGCCATGCATTTTTGATCTTCTCTTTTGCTATGCTTGCAAATTCCTGACAGCTATATTCTAAATTGTCCAATTGATTTAGTCGCAACCCCTCCTTGGCTAGTTTGTGGGCTTGTTATTTGCCGAAAATATTGACGTGGGAAGTGATCCATGCAAGGACCAAACACTCCCCCCCCCCATTGTTTTTTATCTTTTGATTTAGATCCCTAGCTTCGAGGATTATGTCGTCTGCTTTTTGATTTTATAGATTTGTTTCTACTCAGGGAATCAGTTTTAATGAATCTCTCCCATTTCGTATAAAAGGGCAACTATAGCTGCTCTAGTCGCTAGTCTTACGCCTTTACTCTGTATTTTGTCTAGCCTGCCTAGTTGACTATCACCTGCGTTGGCATAGGCATAAGCAAAACATCCGCAGTCGATTACCGAGCGGATGAGTACTTTGTATATTAGCATTAGAGTACACCTGTCGGTTCCCCATGGAGTTCCTCTGATGTATACTCTTCAAAACAGTAGGGGATATTGAAACTTGACATGCTTTGCGAGTATGCTCACAGATGAAGAACTTATCGCACTAACAGAACCACTGAGCTGCAAGTGTGACACGCAATAGCGCCATACACGTGGGAGGGGTTCATTTGACACTTCAATGAAGGTTGATGAAAACTGCCGCGTGCTTGTTTATCCAATCCATGTTTGCTTTCCTATCGGTTCTTGCATAAGATTTACTGTTTAGCGTATCTTTGCTTTAGTGTGTTACGTTTAATTTGCAATGAGACGTATTCAACATGATGAACGTCTATGTGCTATTGGCGTGCTTCAAATGGGTTCTACACAGCGAGCAGTAGCCAACATGCTTAATGTGTCACAGTCTGTGATCAACAGACTGTGGAACCAGTACCAACAAATACACAATATTGATGATAGACCTCGTTCAGGTCGTCGTAGAGTCACTACACAGGTCCTGCGAAATCGAGGACAAACGACCAATCAGCTTTCTGTAAACTTGTACCAAGTTACAGGAATTCGAGTTACACCCCAAACGATTAGAAATCGGCTACATGCAGCCCATTTACATGCGCGACGACCGCGTGTTGTGCCTCCATTAACTCGCCAGCACATGGCAAACAGGCGTCAATGGTGTAGGCAGCGTAGAAATTAATTGGTGTAATCGTATAATGTTCCCAGGTGAGTCCAGATTTACTCTAGATTTCACCGATAGGCGTGCTCGCGTCATGCTAACGTTAACGTCAGACAGCATGACAGATTCGGGCGTGAGTCTGTTATGGTGTGGGGAGGAATCGCCATGACTGGCAGAACGGACATGCATATTGTTCAAGGAAGGGTCACTGGTGTGTACTACCGTGACCACATCCTGGCACCGATAGTTCTGCCCTTTGCTCAACGTGCAGGTCGACGTTTCATCTTTCAAGATGATAATGCCCGTGCCCGCCGCGCTGGTGTCGTGAATGACTACCTCCAGCGTCACCACATTGTCCATATGCCTTCACCAGCCATGAATCCTGACCTTTCCCCTATAGACCATGTCTGGGACATGATCGGGAGATATGTTCGTCGATGTCAACGTCAACCGTTGGCCGTGGCACCGCAAGAGGAGTGGGTCAGATTGCCCCAAATCGTGATTGGCACGGTTGATCAGGAGCATGCCACGATGAATTGCTAAATGTCTGAGGATTGGTGGAGCAATTACTCATTATTAAGACAAAAATCAATAACGTCTAGTTTCACTTTTGACAGTGTATCTCTTTGCGATTGAAATGGGGCCGTCAGATACGCCGTCCATATGAACTGTTTATGTTGATGTGTAGGCAATTGGCCTGTTGTTAACATACGCCGCATTATATTGTTTCTGAATATCCCCTACTTTTTATTGAAGAGTATATTTCATCATGTTGAGCGTTTTGGATGTGCGACTTACGATGCTAGCGATATGTGGCTTCCAAGTTAGTCTTGAATCAGACGTCATACCAAAGAATTTTTCCTCTGCTTTAAATTCGATTTTTGTGCTGTTTAGATTTAAATCAATTTTCCTATTACATGTATTATCAGTCGGATGAAACAGTCATGTTCTAGAGTATATTGCAATGATTTTCTGATTTTTCCTATGTCCTGAGATGCTTTCCAAAAGTAGCTATCGTCTGCAAATAGCGCTGATTCGGCGATTGATCTGCAGCGAATTTATATAACACGACAGATTCTCCCCTTGTGTCAGTCCATTGTCCGGTCATTGAGTGTCGGGTCAATATAGGGACCAGTAATTGCCGAACTGTCGACGTTGACCCATTTGATTTGATAATAATCTTTACTATTCCTGAAATGAAGTCACACAAGTAAGATTTGGACTGGCTCACAATTTGAATCAAACTGGTCATCAGTAAATATTCGATTAGCCACTACTACCACTGAGAGGTATGACATGGGGGCGAATTAATCTAGCTCTCAATATGAACTTTTTCCCTCTGCATATTAATTTCTAAATCATCTCTATACACCCACATTAAGTGTGGGCGTAGTATATCGTCACCTTGTCCGTCGGTCAACAATTAGCGATATTTAGCGTTTTGAGACTTTCCGTTCCGGAGTCACCCCCATCGTGAACACGAGACTATAGTTTTTAAGGGATTTTTTGTAAAATTTGGTGTGAAGCATTAGGGTCATCGCTTCCTATGAACATTCATAATCCACAGCCGTCCGTTCCTGGGTCGCCCCGTCTTCATTAGCCCAGGTTAGGAGCAGAAAAGTAGGACGTTAAACTCCATTTCATTTCATTTCCTGGGTCGCCCCACCCCCTTCCTTGGTTGAAGCAGTCTGAAAGCGATATATGTTAAGAGATTTTAATAGATTTTTTTTTTCAGATTAGGTTGAAAGAGATTATATTTTTTCAAGGATCATAGATCCTTATCAAATCTGCTCAACAACATACAAGTTTTCCTTTCGGATAAGCTGCAGTTGAGACAAAGCTGCCATGTCAACGTATTCCACTCTTTTAAAATTAATATCTGGATAGATGGATAAATAAAATAGTACGCGTCGACGCCGCATGATCTGACGTAACATGTAGACCTATACTGCACGTGACCTTAAAGGTCAGTCATCAGTTATGATTTATAGAGATAAATAAAGTCTTTCGCCTTACCGCTATGAAACAGATTGCATTTGAATGATTACACAAATACTGTATTAGTATTTTCTCTATTTATTTCGATCATCAAACTGTCTGTATGTATGTTAAGTGATTGAATTAATGGGTCTTTAATACAACGAGGGATCGGACTGTTCGAAATATTTCATTTCGTTAGTTTCTGAACACAGTAATAAAATATAGATTTGTCGGACCTTTGAATTACTCAATGAAAGATGAGTGCTGTCGCTCTCTTTAACTTTAACAATCGAGTAGTCTGTAACAGCATTTAGCTTTCAAAACTTGTTTTGGTTAAATTGTCTGGATTCTATGAAAGCATAATCATGTTTGTGGAAATTTGGAGGAGACATTTTTCTATCCTAAGACGGTCACCTTTAGAAAATAAAAGTTATATAATTAATGGGGTCATACAAACATATTGTTGGTGTTGCTTGGCGTCTCGAGCACGGCTCCCAATATAGTAAATGCATGACAACCTAAAGGAAGGTCCTAGCCTATGTAATCTAGAATCAATATTACATGATTGGTGTAACCGTGTTACTATATTAAAATATAAGACGGAGGAGGTATTTTATTAGTCTGTGTAAATACAATAAACATTTCCTAGACGAAACATAAATTGGCCAAATTTCATTTCCTCAATTTCTTGAAATCAGCCAGAACTTTTTCTGCCGCTAATCGACCCGGGGCACCCATCACACCCCCACCTGGAAAGGAAATAAATACAAATAAATCTACATGATTTTTATTAGCTAAAGTCAACATCAGAATCTTAATACACACACGGGTGGTAAAAGACAATACAAAAGTACCGTGAAATCCCGATTAACGACCAACTCAATATTACGGGCTACTCACGAATACGACCTTTTCTTCTATATTCTTTATAACATAATATAGACAGGAGCAGAAGCTATCTTGTTCAAATATATCAACGACAGATCGCAACGACAGATACACCCAAGATTTCAGAAAGGTGGTAATCAAACACGGACTAGTTTAGGGTATCAGGGGAAAGTAACTATTTGTTGAACAGACGTGCGTGTTCACTAACTAATCTAGACATATTGGAATGAACTACAGGCGATACCTTGGTGAATAACTTACCAATCCTTGGGTTTATTGTCGATATATAAAAGTATATACCAAGTTCCATCAAAAGAAATTAAAATCGGACAGAACATATTCACTCCAAAGCAAGTATAAGCTAATTTGTTTTACTAAGTCAAGGGCCATAACTCAGTGAATAATTAACGTGGTCCGTTTACATTAGTATTCATCCGAAATCTCATAAATATGAAACTCGGTGCTAAGTTTCATATAATCGATAATGAATTTAGATTCCACTAATTATTTAGGTATTTTCACTAGGGCGACAGAAACCGTATAATATGGTGCTAGATTTCATGGATTCAAAGTCGCATACCAGTTTCATTAATCATTTTTCATTAGAAACCTTGGATAGACTCTGTGACTTATAGATAACAGTTTTTATGAGGTACGGCGCACAGGCTATACAATCTGTCACGCCCACAGAAATCCTTATTATGATTGACGATATGTGAGATATTTGTTATATGAGTAAACAATGTTAATTCCATTGAAAACGAACACCTTTGAAAGGGGCTAAATTGCTAATATTTGGGACCTAGAAATTGACACAAATGGGTCGCAACGCATATAATAATGTTAGATGAATGTATTTAAACAGATTTACATTTAACCGTTTCTGTTTTTACTGTAATTTCTAAACAGTTATGTTCGCCGAAATATGCCAGAAGTCTCAATAGAATGGCAATTTCTAGCGTCTGGTTATTCCAGTTTACACCGATAATATTTATTGCGCATGCTCTCCAGATAAGAATATGACGTCACCGTTTGACATGACTTGTGCAATATGCCTAGGTGACAAATAGCGCTGAAACGCATTATGGTACACGATTCGTGTACCAATCGTAAAATGTTTATTTTGTCTTGAATATTGGATATCAGAAGTCCATTTTTGCCCGATTTAAATTGACAAATAAATGGTGTTTTCAATGTCGAAGATTTTGGATGATATTGAGTTAGCTACTTTAAGAGTATAGTCTCAATGTTTGTTCCTTGCAAAACACCCATGCACTTTTATAGAATTAACAACGTTTCTCGTATTATTCTATACGTTCACATCTTCAAATATTGATTCTCGAAATTACACGTATGTCGTCTTAGGTCAATAGACAACACAGTAAGTGCTAATTTATTTACTGCGTCATTAGTGAGTTGGTTGTAGTTATATCACCATGCTAAAGGATGACACACACACATTAAAAGAGTATTTTGTCGAACTATGGAGAATGATACTGCCCGATAGAATTCTCCTGACGTGAGAGACAATCCATCGCCGACAAAACATCGTGAACCCTTTGTTTAAACCTTCTATTGATTGGTTTCGTATAAACAACCCACATAGCATGTAACCATACAAGTACGAACGTACTATGGGCAAGGAAATGACCATGTTGTTTGATGAAATTTAAAAAATCTAATTCACCAAATAGATTCAGAATTGTTCAAAGAACAAACATGCCAATTGGAATTGATGGAGCCAAAGAAGATGAAGAACAAGATGAGTAGCGGTTAATGACCAGTTCCTGGTTGGTCACAAGGAATTATTGTGCAAGACACGACCACAGGAAGTTATCTACCATCGTGATAATGTGGGGGAGTTTTAACACAATTGTGCTTAATGGGTCAAGCAATGATGTTTTACATATTGATGACTTTTCACATTTTGCTTTCTAGTTCCGTACAAAATATCATTATTTATCTCGGTTCATTTAGGTTTTTTTTTCAAATTTGTCAGTAATGGTGGTAATAAAGACAATATCAATAAGAAATAATTCTCCCTGTAAATATGATAGAAAAGTAATTGGAAGTAGTGAAGTGACATTAAATATTCCAGAATGGAAAAAAAAAGTTACTCTACTAATTCCTGTAATTGCCCAGACTCGTCTATAACGAAGGTAAAAAAAACCCCAGACGTAAACATGTTAAGAAGAAGATTCCAACTAAGTCTTAGAATTATTTGAAAGACAATAGAACATTATGTATTCGTTCTCGGATAAAATAAAAGATAGTACGTATTCAAAGCTAGCGTCTTTTTGCTAAAAATAAAGCTTATTATGATTACTTTGAACACTTGACGTGTTGCAATTAATTCAATCTACCTCTTTAACGTTGGACAATAAGGGATAAAGCCAGAGAAGAGGAGCTCTTCGTCTCCGATAGAACACTAGATAAATATAATTACCAGGATGGGAACCACTTCCACACAAATAAAGACCGGACACTGATGATCTGTAATTAGATATATCAGACAATGGTCTTGCGAAATAAAGCTGGTCAAGAGACATAGCTCCGTGAAATATATTCTGAAAGAAATCAAGATGAATATTATTAGATAAAAGGGAGTCACAGGCAAGGGCTTACAAGAAGAACCAGAAGAATGGGGTTAAGATTGTTATCTGGTCGCAATCTAAATGGGGGACACTTGGCTTGTCAGTGAACAACCCAATAATTCAATCTATGACAAATAAATTTCTTTTAAGTCCTACAATCAAAACCAATTTTTGTCCATGGTGATAATTAAACAAGATAGTAATCAGTTGTGGTTATTTTGGTAGAAAACACTTACAGCAAGTATCGTAGAAGTATTATTGGATTCATTACAAGCTTTTGTTTACGACCGACAAGATACCCCAAACATCAGTCGATATTTATTAATTTTCTGGTTTTTGGGGAATATCATCTGTACCTGTTCTCTTCTATTTTATATATTTTTTTTAAAATTTATCTTGTTTTACCAAATACTTTTATTTTATTATTTTATGATATTCTATCTATATTTTTTACATCATGTACTTATAATCACATGGTTCATGACTAAAGGAAATATATATGAATAAGTGATATTATGATCCATACATCAAACCAATATAAATAGATAGATAACTTTCTTTTCTTTTCTTATTCTACAATCGGATGTGGACATTCTGTTAGAAATTTTAAATCCGTGTTTAACCCACTTCTATTCCATGTTATTTAGATTAAAGCTAATTTCAGGTTATTGTTTGTAAATCTTCAGACTAATGACTTTGATTTATAGGATAATAAAACCAGATACAAGACGCAGATTACTTATATGACATGTGATGTGTATCGGAAAGTCGCTAGTTATCGGTTGAACCAGTGTCCAAGGAATTCCGCTTTGAACCCAATTAAAAACAAAACTGCCTGGCAAATTAAGAAACATAAGCCCACAGCAGCTAAGCCGCCCGACTACCCTCAAAAGTTGTCGCTTATTTATTGCGTTGTAGTTGGTGTGAGTATGTACAATTTATTAACCAGCGGTTGCCAGCCAAGATACGCCCACATTTTGAAAAAGATAAGTAGAAAACAAACAAAAAAATGCGATTTTCCGTACAATCAGGGGCCATAATCCAGGAAATTATAGCCTGAAATACGCGAATATCGTAATGGACTTAGATATTTGGGATATAAAGTTATAGTTTAAGTTCCATCAAAATAGGATCAAAATTGTGTCCTCTAGATGGTCCACAACCTTGATATACCATATATTTACACTATTTGCGTACGAAAGGCGGCCAATTTGTCCGGCAGTTTTGGTCCGATTTTCACGAAATTCGAACTCAACCATCATTATAGTGTAACGGTGATATATTCAAACGGTTTTTTCAATCGGATAAAATTTATGATCTCTAGAGGGACCACAAGTTAAAAACGCGCCTTTTCGAACAGTCAAGGGCTATAATTCAGGAAGTTACATTCCGATAATGCGTGAATATCGAAAGAAACCAAGATCTTTGGGTTATAAACAGGTATTTCAAGTTACAACAAAATCAGATGAAATTTGTGACCTCTAGAGTGTCCACAGGCTAAAAACGTGATTTTTCGTACGATCAGGGGCCATAATCCATGAAGTTTCGATCCGATGTTTCATCAAAATCGGATCAAAATTATGACCTCTAGAGGGTCCACAGCCTTGATATACCATATATTTACATTATTTGCGTACGAGGGGCGGCCATTTTGTCCAGCAATTTTGGTCCGATTTTCACGAAATTCGAACTCAACCATCATTAGGGTGTAACGGTAATATAATCGAAGGTTGTTTTTTTTTAAATTGGATAAAAAGTGTTACCTCTAGAGGGACCACAAGCTAAAAACGCGATTTTTCGTACAATCAAGGGCGATAATTCTGGAAGTTACAATCCGATATGCGCGAATACCGAAAAGAACCAAGATCTTTGGTTTATAAACTGTATTTCAAGTTTCATAAATCGGATCAAAATTGTGACCTCTAGAGGGTCCACAACATTGATATATCATATATTTACACTATTTGCGCACGAGGGGCGGCCATTTTGTCGGGCAGTATTGGTCCGATTTTTAACGAAATTCGAACTCAACCGTCATTACGATGTAACGGTGATATATTTGAACGTTGTTTTTTTTTAATCGGATGATAATTGTTACCTCTAGAGGAACCACAAGCTAAAAACGCAATTTTTCGTACAATCAGGGGCCATAATTAAAAAAGTTACGATCCGATGTGCGCAAATATCGAAAGGAACCAAGATCTTTGGGTTATAAACATGCATTTCAAGTTACCTCAAAATCAGATGAAATTTGTGACCTCTAGAGTGTCCACAGGCTAAAAACGTGATTTTTCGTACGATCAGGGGCCATAATCCATGAAGTTTCGATCCGATATATGCCAATATCGAAAGGAACCGAGATCTTTTGGATATAAATCTAAATTTCAAGCTTCGTCAAAATCGGATAAGAATTGTGACCTGTGGAGTGTCCACAAACAAATTGTGGACGGACGGGCGGACAGGGGCGACGACAATATAAGTCAACATGAAAATGTGGGCGTATAAAAACTGATTAATTTATGAAGTAATTGTTTGAAATTAATAAATTTGATTGTCTTCCTAGTTGGCATTATTATATAACACACGTACCTTTAAAGAGTTTGGGAGGAAACCAGAAACTTTAGCCTACAGAGCATTCACAAGGTTTTAAACATTGATTATGGGCGATAACTCCTACAGTAATTATCGGAAATCGTTGTACATTTCAAAACCATTGATTGATGACTTTATCTTGTGGGCGGACGGATGGGTGGACAGTCTCTGTAATATTAATCAGGCTACTCATTCAACACTTGCTATTGACGTCCATGATATTGAGTGAAATTTTACTGGTAGCATCATATTTACATAATCTAAAATCCTGTTGAGGCGGTATAAGCATTTCACTCATTCAGTAATTCATTCAAATAGAGGGAATGACTTTTCAATGTAGAATACACAACAAACATACCCCTCCTGTTAATCCTAGAATACTTTCTAAATCTGGTGGTGTGAGAATATCTCTACCAATAACACTATTTGTAAATCCAGGGGCATATCTTTCGATACATTCAAATACTGAAAAAAAGTATTGATGTACATGAATATCATATCGACAACTTTCTTTATGTACATTCATTTTGACAGCTTTTTTATGGGTATTAATGTTGACAGCTTTCTTTATGTATATAATTTGGAAAACTTTCTTTGTGTACATCAATGTTGAAAGCTTCCTTTATGCATATTAATGTTGACAACTTTCTTTATCTACATTGATGTTGACAGCGCTCTTTCTGCATATTAATGTTGACAGCATTCTTTATGCACATTTATGTTGTCAAGTTTCTTTATTTATGCATATTAATTTTGAGCGCTTTTTTTTAATTCATATTAGTTATGCATAGCCTGGTTCTTTTTCGTTATTATTTCACCTGGCATTCCTTTCCATATTATTACTACTTAACATGGTACTTAACACAAACCTACATTACGATAACACTGACAGTCAAATTGGATTAAAATCTACCGAAAGAATCCAATCGGTCATATACTGCAAGATATTTTCATCAAAAATAAATCAAAACATGAATTTCAATCAAATTTACACTTTTAGATTTGACCTAATTAAAACGGACCGTTGTTTTACTTTGTTTGCAAATAAAAATCGGAATTTGTAAATGCACCACAATATTATACGGGTTGATCAAATTATGTAATAAACAAAAGCCTGTAAAGCCAAATAAAAATCTAAATTGGTGATTGTCTGAATAACTGAAGAGACGGCACCATATTTATCTCAGAAATAATTTGATATCACGAACAGGATTACTTCTAAGCTGCCCATTTGTAGTTGCTGTAAATGTCCTATAAATGGTACCACCTTATTTGGTATTATAATTACCCATTTTTCTGTATCGTAAGCCATTGTTAAAGTACTTGTGGTCTCTCATTTTATTAGGCAAAATGTGAGACAACTGTTACAAAAACTAAAAGTGCAACCATTAAAGTATTTTTCTATTTCATCCACGTAACGATTCTGCCTATTAGTACCCCATGTTACATTTAACAAAACTTCGATTAGATGGGACTCAAGCATTATATATTATTATCAAACCAGACTTCATGCATGTTATATATCCTTGTGCCAAACCTGGCAGTTGTCCATTTACCTTTAAATAGATGTAATGGTTGGATGCTGAAATTTTCTGTTTAAAAGCCTGCTAATTTCTTTTGTAACAAAGCATACAACAAATAATGTCAATTCAAAAACATTCATTATATTTTTTTTTTTTTTTTTTTAATAAAAACAGGATATTAGTCTCGATCCTGATCCATAATTATTCTAAAGAAAATGTTTTATAACAGATTTACTTACACAATACCGTGTTAAAATATTATAAACTCAACTCATAATTGAATAATGGCATTGGTTTTAAGGAAAATGAATTAAGGGAAGTAATAACTTGAAATAAGAAATGAATTACTCTTCTGCCAAAACTTTTTATTGGGTAATTTATTAGCCTGCGATCGTTATATTTTTTTTCTAGATTAATTCTGTTTCCAATTTAAAATTTGTCTGCCATATATTTTATGTTTCTCCGTAACATAAAGAATAGATAAAATGATATGCCTGCAGTATAGCAAATAAGGGGCCATGACTTTTGGGTGTAAATATAGGCAATAACAGTTGGAGATCATTGGAAATAAAGAGCACCCCAACTTGAATGAACATTAGTACTCACTATGGGATCATAGATTTATCGTCTACAGCGTCTACACTGTCAATGGGGCCAATAATTATAACCATGTAAGTACTGGTAATTATCCACTCCAGTCTAATTAAAAGTACATTGCAATTTCATTTGCTTTATTTCTTTAAGAATGTCGGAATATATTATACTCTAATCTAACCGAATTTCTATCATAGTTGCGGTATGTAGGTGACAGTTCTGTATCAACCAGTCATGTCAGACCCCTATTAGATCCGATCTTGGGTTTTCTATTCCCATACCCCCCCCCCTCCACACCACAATGCACAGCAGTACACTATCAATACACACAGTTTGATTGGTCGATATGTTCACGTGAAAATACCAGTTGTTAAATGGGGTACAACATAGCAAAATAAAACAAAACGCAAATGACATCAGAATTTAATCAGATTTCTAGTCACTGAAAATCTTCGTTTCATAAAAATAGATTTTACTTTTCGTGTCAGTTGGATGATAAGATAAGCCCCTGGATCACCCACAGGATTTTTCAAAGTAACTAAGGGCAATAACCCTAAACATAATTATCGGAAATGGTTGAAATGCTGCCTTCTTCTTAGAATATAAATACCTTATAATGTGTGAGAAAAAAAAACAATTGGAATATCTGGATTTTAGTCTCTGGAGTGTCGACAGACAGGTCACGATATGCGACTGCATTTAAATATGACCTAAAAAATCGCATTTTGTTGACCTACAACTTACCTAAATCAGCATATTCGTCTTTGGTCTGTGTATCCCACTGTCTGCCATCAGCTAGAGTATATGGTGTATATTGAGTAAATAATAAAACAACATGGCTACCCGGTGGAGCAATGGTGGGATCTAAACTAGAAGGTATTACCATTTCTATTACAGGTCTGAAAATAATAAACTGTATCATTTTTTTCTTTGCATTTACCAGATGATTGTTATACGTAATAAAGTGTTATAGCTACATTGTATTGCAATAACAAGTAGATCAGCAAAGTTTTCCTGTATCTATTCTCTACGTATTGAATAAAGTAAAGCGGATCCACGCAGTTCAAGGTAACAAAGTTTCTATTATTACTTTGCAGCCCATACGACATGAGAGACCACAGTATTCCAGCGGTAATAGTAAAGGCACTGGACTAGAATCTCCCAAGATTTTCTTTCAAGTCCATTGGCACTTGACAGGGCCATGCGTCTCCGAGTCTGACAAGCTGCCTGTTTTTTCGGTGAACAAATTGGTGTGTACGTATAACAACACTTGGACTTGGATAAAGAATATGTGCTATGTGCAAATGTCGCTGGTACTGGCCGGGCAAAATTCACTTCCTTGGCATCGCACATTTGACCATAGACAATCAATTGACCGTATGTTTGGCTCAAACTTGAGCGAAGTATTGTGTTGATGAGACGTTAATCCCCATTCCAGTTTGGTAGCGAATTGAAGAATTATTCAGTTTTTTAATGCTTCCCGAGCCTAAAATGCAAGTCTTAACACTTTTCTACAATGCACGTAACCATTGAAGCTAGCTAGAACGTACGAAACTAACATCGTATAGTAATGAATTCATACCAGAGGACCTGTCCACTTGTTGTCTTAAGGCGCATTACTCAATTATGTATTTTTTAAAAATGTGCATGCCTTGAAATATCTCACAAGAGATCGTGATCATGTTTTAAACAGCACATATTTTATTGTCGGTGACTAGTGTGAAAATAGTTTCATGTCAATTGTATTTAGGGTCACGACTGTCGAGTATGTATTTTTAATAGTTGATTACTTTATTACTAAGTAAAGGGAGACTACAAAACCACTACGTACAAACAGTACAAAACCACTACGTTCATAAAGTACAAAAACATTACGCACAGAAAGAATACAAAACGACGAAAGAGTACAAAACCGATTATTGGTACACAAGGTTTACAGACAATTGTTGCAATTTTGGTTCTCGAGAGACAGAATACCAAGGAACCTTTAAATACTTACAGCTTTGAATAATGACCATTTTGAGCATCAATGAAAGCCCTGTGAATTAAAAGACTATCTTCACAATTGATATGGATGGTTGATCTATGGTGTGGCATCACAGAATCAGCAGTAGTATTGGGATCTGCAGTAAAGTTTGGAATTCTGTTCACAGCAACTGAAAAGGAAAATGTACATTGACTGATTGGAAAATAGAAACATGTATTATTTTTAGATTTGAACTTTATAATGACAAGGTGTTTAAAGCTTTGCTAGGGCAAGGTGGCTTACATAATTATCATAATTGGTTGCGCATGCGTAGTATATCTCCAGGACTTCTGTCATAATACCATTGAAAAGCATTTCCAATAAGCGGACAAAGGTAGTGGCCCATAGATTAATGTAAAGTAGGAATAGGACTAATTTCTGAACGCCACATATTCCCCTGGTCATTTCCATTTAGTTCGCTTACAAAACTGCATATAGGCTAACCTATAGATAAATTGGTACAACTATGATGACTCGTTGACTAGAATGGCAGTAAGTACCGGTGCGACGAATCGCGCACAATTATAAGTAAGGGTGGTATTAACAGTTTGTGTTAGAGATTATTATGGGTGTAGTCATAGTGGGTGTTAGGATTGTAGACATAGCAGCAATTTATTACCCCCCCCCCCCCAACACTGATTCAACGATGAAAATGTATATGCATACCCATTTACGAGGTCGAGTTTTTAAAAAGTGATGAAAGGCAATAAGTCCGACAGTAATTATCGGAAATTGTTGCAAATCAATATGATTATTTGCCTAGGAGCATAAACAGTGTGTTTCATTTTCAGAGTAATTATTTGACATGTAGAGAGTCCATAAGGTTTTTCAAAATCATCAAGGGCCATTGCCGAATAGAAATAGACTTCTACTTCTCCCAATCTTAAACAATGTGTATAAATTCCAGATGATGACTTTAGCATCTAGAGTGTCCACAAGCAATTTTAAACGCCGGGTGGGCGGACGGACAAAGATGACAACATATCACCAGATTTAAGTGGTCAAGGGAGGGGTGGATACATCACTACGTAATATTCTAAAGTAGGCCCTGTCTGCGATATCACCCGGATAGAAGTGGACGTTACATCAAGATATTTCACACATTTTTTAGTAGAACATAATCTGGCTGTTTATACTAGAAAGTGCCGAAAATAAGTATATCAGTATCAGTATCGCGGTAACATATGGCAGTTAGAAAAGGTTTGCAGATGCATTTTGAGAGCATCTGATATGCAAATTCTCACTTCTCCATCAAATTCTCTTTTACTATTTAATTACATAATGATATCATTACAAAGTTCCATTGTATCTCTACTACCCTGTACAGTTTAAGATAACACATTTTCTACGATTAACTTCATTTCATGAGAGGCTTCAGTATTCAAGCGGTAAGGATACTGAACCCTCGACTAGCTAGATTGTCCCGAATTCAAATACTGTTTTTATCCGATTCAGTACGCATTTTTTTTCAGTTTAGAAGCAAGATCATAGCTTTGATTTGCAAACCAGCTAACAGGGGAAAATGCTGTATATGGTTAATATCTTACCATTGATTTTTGTTACTGGTGATTTATAATCTATCTGTTTTACTGCTGATGTCAGATATGTAGGTAAACACGCCTGTCAATACAAACAACAATTATCTATAGCTCTACTTATAAAATAACGATTACTGCCTAACATCTAAATCAACAACAATTAGCATCACTTACTCCAAATGGTGCCAACTTAATACATTGTTACGAAGGGACATTCTTTGCATAAAAACAATAATGATAAGATGCTTGGAGAGAGAGATTTTTTCAATGTCCATCGGACAGGATTCCCGCTGATAATCAAGACAACAAACACCAGTATAGTGCAATAAATATATATTCTCTTCAGAATTTAATTAAGATATATATTAAATTTAGATTTCTGTATATTATGAAACAATCCCATGCGACAATACAATAATAAATATCTGTTCTATATTAAGAATATATTTCTTTCCTTTTTACCATCCCGTTTTAGCTGCAATGTGAAACTGGTTTTGACATTTCAGATAAAGAGAGGGAGAGAGAAATGTGGTTTAACGTCCACTTTACACAAACTAGGTCATTTCGGGACTAACACATGGTTCAATTTCATTTCAATCATCTGATTGCGCGTAGGGGTCTTTAGCAGGGAGGAAACCGGCATTTCAATTAAAGATATAAACGGAAGTTATTATTCTGTCGAAAATGTCATTATTTAACGATCGAGATTGATCCGTTAATTATTAAAGATACACAACCTTGTATTTTTTTTTATTTTATTTATTTATTTTATTTATTTTTTTTTTTTGGACCAGGGACTCTTCCCTAAGCGTTTCTCATCATCTTCTTGATATTTATGGCGGCGACACTCTTAAAAAAAAGCCTTACGCTCCGCCAATTCATGTACGGTCGACATGATATGCTCGTTACTAGGACAATTACGCATAGATTGACGGACTTCGACGTCACAATCCAACAATGTCTGTCACCCTTTCTAAAAAGTGAGATTATTTTTTTAAAATCATTATTCAATTCTCAATCATATTATTCAATGATTTAAAAGCTGAAAGCTAACTTTCCAATTTACAAAGGACGCCATTTGTTCGGAAAGCTTACAAAAATTGTGATACAAACTGAAATTATTAATTTATTCGTTGTATTTATCTTTGTTTTAGTGTTGGTGGTGTGTGTGTGTGTGTGTGGTGGGGGGGGGGCTTTAACTATAAACTAGTTCAGAAAGAATGTCGGTTTATTACATAGTGAATTAAAATGTAATTCCCCTTAATGTACTGGAAAGTCGGGGTGACAATTTTATATACTACATACTTAAGTACGAAGATAAGCTTATGGCAATAAGATTACCATTATGTCATTTATTAAAGGTGACATTATAATACAACAAGATTTGTTTAGGTTCTTATAGCATTAATCTTACCGGTATGTCATTTATTAAAAGTGACATATGGTTGTGTATAATTTAACACGGTTTGTTGGTTTGAAAACTTCTCAAATATCAATATAAAAGAACTGTCTTCAACATTTGTAAAAAGTGCAGCCAGAACCAAAATATCCGTTGAAAAATTACAATTCATGATATACGAGACTATCTTGTTTACCTGTACTAGTTCGATGCGACCATAATAGGCAATCGAGAAACAATAATTGGTCCTAGGCTAAACCTGAACCTACCTGTGGAACTAGATCTAGGTAGGTGACTTTAGCTGTGGCATTAGATAGAACCATTTTAGATTTTATTTCTGTACCATCTTGTAACCCTACTCCCTTTACTTCATTGTTATCTATAATTATTTCCTTTACAGTCTGAAATAAAATTTTATAAAGTGGAATGTACTCTAATCGCAAGAAAAGGATTTAATGCCTTTTTGCGTTTAGTTAGATGTACTTTATAACATCCCAAAATTTACAAGATTTTGCGCACCGGAAAGCGGTAAAAATAACTAAAATCCAAGATGGCCGACATTCGCCCAATCAATATTCAAGCAAATCCTAAATGATTGGTTGAAGACCCTGTATTATGAACATAGGTATGATATCAAACTTTTAGAATGTCATTCAGTACACCCCAAACTCCAAACAACCATCTAAAAACATTGTCTTGCAATTTTTGAGGGGTTGACCCCGTTTTTCCATGCACTATTTAGCATTCTCAATCCTCATTTGCTCAGTCGGTGCAGAAAAGTAGCACGTTAAACCCCATTTCATTTCATGATATGTGTTTCATAGAGCAATCTAGTCGAAATGTCGTATTATTGCATAGAGAGGGAGAAATGGTGTTTAACGTCCACTCGACACAAACTAGGTCATTTCGGGACTAACATATAGTTCTGTTTTATTTCAATAATTCACTTGATCGTTGGGGTCTTTAACAGTGAGAGAAAACTGGAGGACCCGGAGAAAACCCACGAGGTTGGAAAGGCTACCCTACTCCTTTTTACGTACAACCGGGGAATCGAAACCACGCCAGTTGACTCAATGACAGACCCTATGATACAACGCTCATTCGCTAACCATTCGGCCATCCAACCCTCCCTTATTCCATAGAACCGAATCTATATACACAATGGATATCACTCATTGACATGAAATGGGGTTTAATGTCCTGCTGTTCTGCTCCGACTGGGCTAATGAAGGCGGGCATATGCTATGACTGAAATTTTGCCCGAACAGCGGCGCTACGGCGTACTTTTATATCGAATTCCAACTGCCAATGGATCTTTTACGTGCACGTCAATGTGTACTCGGGGCCTCGGTTTTTCGTCCAATCCTAAAGACTATACATTGTCCGTTGCCGGGCCCTCGGTCCTGCACCACTGACAAGGGGGACCTGCGCCGGAAAATCCCGATGAACTTTCTCGGCCAACGCAGGGATCGAACATGGAACCCTCCGGTTAGCAAGCCAACGTCTTACTGACTTAGTCACCGTGGCTCCCCTTTGACATGAAGAAATGAAGATGTTATGATATCAATGAAAAGAAAGGAAATGAAATCCATGTAGTGTGCAATATTATGAGAAAACCTTTTCCCGAACAGTGGCACTACGGCCTACTCTTACGTCGAATTCCAACTGCCAAAGGTTCTTTTACGTGCACAGCAACGGGTAGATGGTACCTCACTGACCAGTTGAAATAACGCCAGAAGAATTGTGATGTATACCATTACCTTGTCAGTTAAAATCGTCGTTCCGTGATCTTTGGCACAATTTGCTATAGCATTGGAAACTCCTCCCATTCCACCTTCAACGTATCCCCACGCGCCTTTAACGCCCTCTAGTTCCCCCATAACATGATGCAATAACACGTACCTATAATTAAAGAGAATATGGTTTTATTTGATTATATCTAGATTTTAACAACAGTTGATGTCTGATTATCTGGAAAGCTTTTTCAATAGGTTACGAATAGATCACTATTCGCGAAGCAATGATAACGAGCATTATTGGGAAAGCGTGTCAATACGTTACGAATATGAATGTTATCGATTCAATAGGTTATGAATATATCTATTCTAGAAGCAGTAATAACGAGCATTATGTAGAAAGAGTATTCAATCGGTTGCGTAGTATTATATCACTCGGAGCAAGTTTAACCAACAATATCAACAATTATGTTGCGAGTGTATCTTCGATGCGGCACATGATTCAGATGTCGAAACATATTGGTGTCGGAAAATTATCAAAATCTTCGATGTTCCGGATACAATACACCTTCTCTCCTGGCCTTTAAATATCTTATAAACCTATAACGGTAAATTTCTTTGGTCTTAGGGGTATATTCTATGCTCGGAATAACTTGCGGTCTAAAAGTCGGGGCGACTTTGGATATATACAGGGGATTTTGGAATTATTCTCCTGAAAGTTTTTTTTTAAACCTGTAGCGGGTTATTCTTCAAGGGTAGCGTTTTTTCTATAAGAAACCATGATATAAAGGTTTTTCTTACTGGGAATCTAGGATATTCCCATTTTACGTACATGCAAACATAGGCGGTTTAAGGCAAAGTCCTCGACTTCGGTTATGCTCGGGAAAAAATACTTCAGAAAAAACCTCGGCCTATCGGCCACGGTTTTTCTTTATCTCGGGTTATTTTGTTCCGTCTTTCTTTCCCCAGCATAACCCCAGTCTCGTGCTTTATCCTACACATTATATCCGTTAAAAATATAATGATAAATAAATTAATTGACAACCAAATTGTCTGTATTTGGGCTCTACCCCCTACGCCCCTTTTCTTCGGTAACGATAAATCCACAAACCTGGCTCAGTGGAGAGTCCCACAACCTGTAAGCTTAAACAAAACCAAGGAAAACGCCTAGTTTTATTGGATAACATGGTCGAATTATAATGCGAATGTTAAGAAACCTACCCACTTCCAGGACTATTAGGGCTCAACATGGCACCAATCACAGAATCAGTAGCCAAAGTTGCTTTCAATGGTTCCGATTCAAACCATTTATCTAAAACCTGAAACAGAATCTTGTTATGTCAATTTGCTTGCATTTTATTGTTTGCCATGACAAAACAATTAAATGAAATAATTTATTCCAGAAATTCTTTCTATGATTTTCTAAATTCATCTAAACCAAGGACACTATTCTGGATAAACGGTGGCTTAGATTACACTAAATTATACCATACCTTCTGTGCTGGTGCTGTAAGTAATTCATAAAGGTCTGGTATATCTTTTCTGATCTTCTTCACTGGAAATATTCATATCAACTTGATTTACATCTATGTGAATTTTGCTTTATATAATAAACACTAATTTTAAGAAATGTGTTTTATTACCCAACAAATAAAAAACATTTATTACCCTTTAAACTTTTAAAGAGATACAAATTTAAAGCTTTTCTTTAATTAAGAATCGAGTCGCTGGCAGAGTAATCAAACTAATCCATATGGTTCAGTTGTATTTCAATAACCCGAAGAAAGCCCACTTGGTTGGACAGATGATCATACTCCTTGACTCAATGGCATACCTTATGATCTAAAGTACACCCGCTAGACCAATCAGCCCCGTGACAAGGAGTAGGGTCGCCTGTCCAACCTCGTGGGTTTTCTCCGGGTCCTCCGGTTTCCTCCCACTGCTAAAGACCCCTACGCACAAGCGCATTATTGAAATAAAATTGAACCATGTGTTAGTCCCGAAATGACCTTGTTTGTGTCGAGTGGACGTTAAACCCCATCTCTCTCTCTCTCTCTCTCTCTCTCTCTCTCTCTCTCTCTCCAATCAGCCCACACCACCTTCTTATTAAACCTATAACTTTTATACATCACTCAAACGGGCATCTAGACAGGTTCATAATACAGTAGTTCATTTCAATACCAGGCAGAAGTATCACTGAAATTTCATTTGAAGCAAAATATAGAGGGTACATGGCCCTGATTATTATAGAGAAAGATTGCGTTTACCCCTGGGCATGTTTAAAGGACAATATTGGTGCCAGTCATTATCAAATATGTGATAGAACTGGTTAAACACGTTCCAAATATTATTTTATCACAGAGATCATTGCTACGATAGATGAGTAATCAATGTTTCAACAATAGGAAGTGACGAACGCAAAAGGAAAACACGAGTTATCCCTCTATATAACTGACTGAAGTGACGGGTGATAGATACATGGGCGACTTTCTGCTCACTAATAATTCCTTCGAAGACCAAAAGTTGTTGTATGGGACTGTGAAAGGATATCTGACAATTTATAATTAAACAAAATTGACTGTCACAAGATAAGAGAACATGAAAAAAAATAGAAAAAGTCCGTGCATTATCATGTTTTTATAGGTATAGAATGAATAAACACCCTTGAATGTACGGACTGTTTCTATTTTTCTCGTGTTCTCTTATCTAATGACATTCAAATACTTTTTTGAATTGTCAGATATACTCTTACAGTCTCATATAACAACTTTTGGTCTCCGAATGAATTTTTAGTGAGCAGAAATTCGCCCATGTATCTGTTATCACCCGTCACTTCAGCCAGTTATATAGACGGATAACTCGTGTTTTCCTTTTACGTTCGTCACTGCCAATTGTTGAAATATTGATTACTCATCTATCGTAGCAATGATATCTGTGATAAAATAATATTTGGAACTTGTTTAACAAGTTCTATGACTGGCACCAATATTGTCCTTTAACTAATCGCCTTTAACGCGTTATATGTAGCAATGTTTATAATGAGTTTATTCGATTACTAGAACCTATAAAATCTTAGAATAGTTTGAAAAAATAGTATGTCATTCAAAGGGCTACAATTAGATTGGGCGTAAAGATCGAATTGTCCAATCACACATAGATAGCACTTCTACATCTTTGGCTATTTCCACAGTCGGAAGACATTAATTACTACAGAATCTTTTATTGACACGTTATTTTTGGAGAAGTAATCATTTAAAAGTAGGTAAATTGTTCTAATTACACAACTCATCCCTGTTGGCTAGATTTCGGAAGGTTTACATAAATCAAACAAACTACTTACACATTGATAAAAATGAATAAGATGTAACGAGATCGCCTCTTCTTTCAGACCAAGACGCCGTAGATGGACCAGGTAAGTTAATTGGTGGTCGATCTAACAGTGGTTCTATACAACTTACAAATCTTGATAACATATCTTCATATAGAACAAACTTCTACAAAAATAATACAGGTTAACAAATAAAGCCCCAAGCCAGATGACCAGACCATAAACGTAGAATGCGATGTGAAAGCAAAGTGTCATATCAAATTTGTAATCTTGGCAATTTATAACTCTTATACCGATCAAATCCAAGTTAAGATATTCTGCGGTTGCTTTAATTACATTTCGTCTTTTACTGATATTACTTGTTGGGAAACATCCTACGATTCTATCTTTTTTCAATTCTGCAAAGTTAGGAAATTCGTTGTTTCACAAAATTTGATATCAAATATCAAATGAAAAGTATGTAGACAATATCTAAACATTAGGAAAATTTACTGATTAGAAAGTGATACTCGTTATATCTAGAAATACAAGCGGTGTCAGTAGCTCAATCTAGCCAGTATATAGACAAAACGAGCATTCTTACAGTATTGCTAAAGCAAGAGATGTCGCCTTGGTAGCCATGGTCATCGACCGGAAGTGCACACTTCTCTTGACTAGAAAGTTCCGGGTTCGAATCTTTGCATGGTCCGAAAAGAACTTTGGAGATTTTACAAGCTCGGTTCTCACTTTTCATGGATGGCACCCGATCGACTGACAAGGTATATGCAGTGTAGTCGTTCGGAAAGTCTAAAAAAAAGAAAATCCGACAGCCACCGGTGCAGACATTGTGTGTAAAAGAACCCTTGGCAGATGGTATTCGCAGAAGAGTAAGGGGATTTGAATTTCGTCATATGTATAGTTTACTGCCGCTTATACGCAGGAAGTGTGTTGCTGATAAACCGATAAAGCCCGTGAAGATGAGGCATTAATTAACTTCATAATGTCACTCCTGTTCCGATCCCCCCACTGCACCAACACTAATTAGGAAGTAGGAAGTATGTCACCGATAAGATGACAAGCACATTGAAGATGAGATGGCGATTAACTTTAAAATGTCACTCTAAATTAAACATCTCCATTGTCCACATCAAACTTAAGAATCAGATAATGATTATAGAATCATTTACACTCATACTTCCTTATGGCTGATTTTAACGGCGGACAATGAAATAAACCTAGTTTAACTATGTGCTCACACAATAGGACTATTAAAACACATGTATAGCCATTAAATGGAGTTAATAAAAAATAAGATATTTTTTTTTTAAAAAGTAGTCATGAAAGCACATAAAAATGGACAGGGGAAGATTATAACTATTCAAAAAAAGTAGGGGATATTTGATTTTGGGGGCATAATACTAAAATATGCAAATGACTACGAAAAAAGTCACTATAGAACCTAACAGAAGAAACATTTCCAGTTACATGTGACGCCCAAACGCACCAATAACTACCGCATGGAATGCAGGTGATGCTTGGGATCATCATGGGGGTCCAACCCAAGATTTGCACGACTCTGACTTTGAATGTTACAGTCATTGTGGCATTGAATTCCAGGGTGGAAACATCAGTTTAATTGTTTTAGTGACCAGAAAACAAATTTTGATATGCGTCGGCTTACCCAAAATGAAAGGTTACGTGTCCTTGGCATGCTACAGATCGGCACAACACAGGCGGTTGTGGCGCGGACGATGAATGTTTCTCAGTCTGTCATAAGCAGGCTATGGTCCAGATACCGTGATACACAATCTGTACAGGACAGACCACGCTCAGGTCGACCAAGGGCGACAACTCAAGCCCAGGATCGATTTATCCGTACCTTGGCCTTGAGAAATCGTGTCATCACAGCAAATCAGATCAGCGCTCGTCTTCAAACAGACACTGGTGTGAGAGTGAGTGGCCAGACGATTCGGAATCGACTGCATAGGGGTCACCTTCGCGCCCGACGTCCTCGCGTGATCCCTTGTTTGAGAGATCATCACATTCAGGCAAGACGTCGTTGGTGTAGGGATCGTCAACACTGGGATAATCGACGCTGGAGCAATGTGATGTTTTCAGATGAGTCAAGGTTCACTGTTGATTTTTTGGACAGACGTAGGAGGGTGTGGCGTCGTCGAAACGAGCGCTTCCAAGACGTTAACGTCATCAGACATGATCGATTTGGGGGTGGTTCTGTTATGGTGTGGGGAGGCATCACTGTTGCTGGAAGAACGGCTTTACATGTTGTTGCAGGGCGTGTTACAGGCCAGTACTACCGGGACAACATCTTGGCAGTCCATGTTGTGCCGTTCGCACGACATCAAGGCCGCCGTTTCATCTTCCAGGATGACAACGCAAGATGTCACAGGGCCAGGATCGTTACAGGTTACCTCCAACAACAGAACATCACCACATTACCTTGGCCAGCACTGAGTCCCGACCTCTTCCCCATCGAGCATGTCTGGGACATGCTTGGACAGAGGTTACGTCAACGTCAACAACGTCCTGCCAATGTCCAAGAACTTGCTGCTGCTTTGCAACAGGAATGGGACAATCTGGACCAAAATGACCTTAGACGTCTCATTAGGAGTATGCCACGTCGGATCAATGCTTGTTTGGCAAACAGAGGAGGATTTACCCGTTACTGACTTGGTTGTGATGCTGTGGTAACTTTGCTGTTTGACCCCGGGTATCATTTTACCCTTATAATGGTCGGTCTGTGCCTTACTTAGTCTAACGATCATTTGGAATAAATCGATGAATGTGAACTTCATTTCATTTTGTCATTTGTTTCTTCGTCAGTTTCATTAGGTGACTTTAATAACACTTAAAAATCAAATATCCCCTACTTTTTTTGAATAGTATAAAAATAAAAGTAACCAAAGAAAAAAAAATAACAAAATATTTACAAACCATTTGTCAATATTCGAATCGCAAATGACCATTTTTGATGAGTTATTAATTGGCATTTTGGGGAGGGGTTTCCGAAAGAATTTTGCATCGTTCCGCACCGCTTGGCGTACAAGACGTGGTGTCCGCTACACTTTATAGATTCAAAGTAAAAATAGCCTCAAACCAATAATCTTCAACAAATATTTCATAATTTGTATTGAAAAAAAAATAGTATGAGCCATTAAAATATTCACCGAACGGTTTCTCTTTGTGGTAATGCGTTTTACAGTTATGTACAACAGTGGTCATGACATTACCCACGTAGCCGTTGGATTTTTCAAAATCATAGAATTATGCGGTAAGGTTTCAATTTTATTTCAATGTGGATTAGTTAATTATATGTTAAGCTATATAGCGTAGTACTTTTAGGACTGGATTAATTTAAAATTAAGGGAGCTACAGCCTGTAACTTTTGTATGACTACAAAACCTGCTCAAAGGAAGTGGTAGAAGTCAGTAGTGGGGCCATTTCTGGGTAGCTCTGTGCCCCCGGACAAACTGGTTTCCTTTGGGCCCCCATCGGGTGACGAATACATGACGAGAAAATAAACTAGTTTTTCTCCTTGGATTTAGGCCATTATATTTTTTAGTGGATGTGAAGGTGAAATTTATTTATTTTAAAAAAAAATATATGTCAATTTTTCCGGCGGTCCGAGGCCCTTACCGCCCCAGAATATGCGACTGTTTATCAGACTGAACTTTACATGGGCTAAAATATATTCGCTTTGTCACAATAATCATGCTTTGTTTAAGAACCATTAATCAATGTTACCCGTGAAAATTGCTAAACAAGAACTGATCTGATTTTCATTCGTTTAAGAACCATTCTTATTACACTGAGCTATAGTTCTCGATAAGGATTATTCTTATCATGAAACAACTTAAGCATTCGGTCAACCTTTTTTAAAAAAAACCCAACAAAACCTAATCGATATGAAATAATAGTAATATTAAACCTTGGCATCTTTGGTTGAAAACTGTGCTATTTGTTGTTGGTTTATTTGTTCATCCATGCCTAAAGTCAGTGAAGTAGTTTTACCATTGAGTCCTCCCGGTTCGATGAGAGGGGTGTAAGAGCTTGGATTCCTAAGATACACTTTTAATCCATATTTCTGAAAATATACAAAACCAAAAAAACCTATTTAAAGGGGGAATTGGCAATTTCTTTGGAAGTCTTCGCCTATTGGTGACAAATCAAATTTGCCTAGCCATTGCTGAAATATACAGTACAGTGCCTTTAGCTTCTATTTTACGAGTGGTACAATTTTATTCAGTGGTTTCTAATAAGTTACGCTCGTGAAAAAATACGTCAGTATACGAATCTATGGTTATTGAAATATTTCAGTCTACAAAATTAATTGAATTTACTTTTACTTTCTTCGTGAGAGTGATAATTCGTTCCACTAAAACTCAACACAAAAAACGAATGGTTGTCGCAAATGCAAAAGCTGTGAAATGGTTATTAATAACAATATCTTTGATATTTAGTGATTTTTTTATATCATGATTTATGTCATAGTGTACACGGATCATATTTTTGAAACATAAACACATATAAAAAGAGATTGAGATAAAATTTCTGTTTATCTCATGTAATGTATGAAACTAGACCTCTAAGATTTATAAGTCTTCGGATATATAAGTCTTTTTTGTGTTAATAATTCGAATTTGAAGAGAAGGGCTGTCAAAGTGATATAATGTTTGACAGACAAAAAACATACCTTTAGCTCTAAATCTGTCATTATCTGTGGCCGAAACAAACTCAATAAATATGACGCCCTTGAGAACTTAAAACCTAAAATATAAAAGAAACATTAAGATTTTCAGTGATCTTTAATAATAACCTTTCTGTTTCCGATTACCCGGGCTATCATTTCCCTTCTGTTTGGCTGATCATAAGAGAAAGACTATTCAGTTCTTCTCAAGATATTTTATGCAGTTTTATTATTTTTTATCCATTTTTTTATTTTCCTGAAAGGCTTTGACAATTCTTAAAGTAACTACATGTATATCGATATCAATTTATAAATTCTATATAATATGACGTCCAGACTTCGTCTAGAGTTAAACATACCATATTATGGTCATCTACAAGCTTATTGAATCTTACAAACCTCCATATTTCTCAAATGCAAGGTTTTTAAACTCTAATTCTTTAAATGGTAGTCTACCAAAAAAAACCTAATTCTTAAATTGACCGGCTACCAAAGTGACGGGAATCATTCAAGAATATTGCAAGAACCGAGGCTTAAACTGTTAGAATTTCCAAACTAATTTACATATACAACATGGTATGATTAAAGGCTGGCACATGATAAAATTTTACTTACCAGGGATAATCTCTTCTGTTACAGCAGCGCCTCCTATAACATGGCGTCTCTCAACCACACAAACATCAAGCCCAGCTTTCTGCAGGTACGCTGCCTATAAATAATATTAAATAATATTAAATAATATTAAATAATATTAAATATTTAGTATACTAAATATTTAATATTTAATATTATTTAATATTATAATATATTTCTCATTTCGATATTTATTCCCCGTTGACTTATCTGTCTGGTGGAGTATCATTTCTTATTAACAGTAGATTTACTTTACATTTAAAACGATTAATTTACTGTCAAGTTTCAACACAGTTCCGACGCCAGAGGTATGATTCGATGTTATTTTAGAGTTTTCTGTCTAAAGTGTGCGAGTGGGTCTTAACAGTGCCAGTAGATGTATTTCATATTTGAAGTGACTCAAAGCATGTTTCAGGAACACTGAGAATTCTCGGGATTATAGCATATGGAATAATAAGGGGGTGGGGCTAGCCCCGCCATCACATTTTGGTATTTAGGATTTATTTGGAGATACTTATGTCTGGGGGTGAGGTGATCGAGGGGCTTACTCCCAACAAAATGTGATATTTTGGCTTTATCTTCACACCTCTTTTTATTTTTGGTCGAAGCCCTCTATTGGTCGATTTCAATCAATATTTGAAGTGACTCAAAGCATGTTTCAATGCAGTGGCGACGTTTTGTTGGCCCAGGGAAAGTGGGCTACAAAATGTCAAAAATTTAATGTATGAACTTTTCATACCAAGCTAGTCATATTTAATCTAAATGGGCTAATTTGCCCCTTTCCGGTCGATGTTTATATTCGGGACAAACCCTAAATCGCGTAAGGACTCTCCAGTTTAAAATCCTATAGAAATGAAATGAAATGAAATGAAATGGGGTTTAACGTCCTACTGTTCTGCTCCTAAACTGGGCTAATGAAGACGGGCATACGCCATACAGTGTAATGTGAGGGAAATTTTGCCCGGGCAACGACGCTACGGCTTACTCTTATATCGAATTCCAACTGCCAAGGGATCTTTTACGTGCACGCCAATATGTACACGGGACCTCGGTTTTTTGTCCCATCCGAAGGACTAGACAGCTGTCCTTGTCAGGCCCTCCGTCCTGCATCACTGACATGGGGAAACCACGCCGGAAAATCTGGATGAACTTTTTCGGCCAATGCAGGGATCGAACACCCGACCTCCAGGCTAGCGAGCCAGCGTTTTACCCACTTACCCACGTGATCCCCAATCCTATAGAAATTATGTTTGCTTTTTTGATGAAAGTGTGACTTATCTGTATCTAAAGATTGCATATTATTATATTTTATAGAAGTGAAGTCTTACCGCCACTAACCCATTGTGTCCTGAAATTATGAAAAAAAAAAAAAATAAAAGTACTAGAGTATTATGGTTTGATCCCCGTTCGCCATCTACGTCATGATGGTCAGTCCATAAACGATTGGTCCAGTGGATTGTGTAGTGAATTAGGCCTGATGATTTGTAGCCAGAATATATGAATGGGGTTTAGCGTTCTACAGTCTGCTCTGACTAGGCTATAATGAAGACTGATATACGCCATACAGTGTGCTGTGGGGGAAATTTTACCCGGACATCGGTGCTAATTAATGCATACTCTTATATCGAATTCCATCTGCCAAGGTTTGTTTTTAAAACACACGCCAATGTGTACACGGGACCTCGTCCCATCTGAACGATTAACGACTATTCCTTGTCCATTGTCCGGCCCTCCTTCCTGCATCACTGACAAGGGGGAACCGCGACTGAACATCCCGATGAACTTTCTCGGTCAACACAGGAACCTCCAGGTTAGCGAGCCAACGTCTTACTCACTGATCCACTGTGGCTCCCTCATAGTGAATACTTGTAAGCTCTATTTTTCATATTGTTGCGGACAATCCGTCCACGTCAATTTTTCTTTTTTTGGTTGGTTATATTTGCCATATAGATAAATAATGTGCTTTTCTACTTTCAAGGCGAATTGTCAACATTGACCGTTTGCGTAAACATGATATAATAAAATCTTGGCTAAAACTTGGGGTATTGCATGGTTATGAGCAGAGTAAAAAAAAGCAATGTTGGAAGTAGTTATTAATCGAAGGAATTTTGGTTTTATTGTTTTGGCATCTTTATTTATTACCTGTCTTACGGACATAAATGATTTAATTGACCGGTGATTCAGCAACACAGATGTGAACAAACCATTTGGGCAATACGTCATCAACATAGACCAGATAAATAACATTCTCTGTTGGGCAACTGTTAAATGCCGAACAAAAATAACGGTAGAATTAATGTGTTTGATTCACTGTTTCTAACACTCCTTTGACTTTTTAAAACTTTACTCAAACGTGTACACTAATAGGTGGCAGTTTTATAATACATATATGTACATATATAGATAACTACATTGTAGGTAAGTATAATATATACCTGCTCCTATAACAAGGGCATCATACGATGACTTGATAGACGTAGAAACATTACATTGAACAACATGGCACACTTTCTGTCCAAACCTATTCAGGAAAAAAGTGCCATTTCGAAAATACATGGCGTGGCTTATTATACTGAATTACTTTATAATGTAGCGTCCATATTATCTGCCTAATTAAAAATGACATCGACATAGATAGTAGATATAAGCTGGGGGGTATTGGATATCATACGTTTCTAGGTCACGGTGTTCACTTAATTCGGAGCCACTTTTCAATAGCGTTTATCTCAGAGCGTGTTTATTGGGTCTCGATTTGGCTGATGCAACGCTGAGTAATCTTAAAGATACATTCCCGTGTAGAAACTGAGTGATTTGATGATATATTTGGCCTAAAACATATTCAAACTAATTAATTTATCATAAATTTGCTTTAAATCGTTCTCAACACATTGTAATTGTCAAGGAATACCCTTGCTATAAAAAATCGATCAAAAGAGGTCATGTTTGTGTCATGTGACTTACGGGTGCGAAGTCGGAGGAGAATTCATTGCATACACTTAATCGCTGACTATTTATTACAAATAACGAATCCTAATTAAATTCTCGGATTTTCCACTGCCCGCGTCTTTTTCCGTGATTTTTATCTCAGAAAGTGTTGTACGTCTAACTCTTCATAAAGTTTATCAACTTGTACATCAAGCGCTTATTCTCCGCGTGCAACATTTGACGTCACGCGTGCAGATACACGTGTATTCCTAATAGTCGGGCTGTTGATTAGGGGAACCCTGACATTTTTGTCCTGTATACGCTATATGGGTGTTTTTCAGGGAATCCAGTATTTTTCTAGTAAGATTTGATATCTCTACTTTCCATATATACCAAAATTGCCATACTTTTATTGGAAATAACCACCCGATGACTACTTTTCTGGGAACTTATCTTTAACAACGGTTCACCAATATACTGACAAGAATCGACTGGATTTTGTCAGTTGAACAAACTACGATGTGTGCCGGAAGTATGACCAGATTTACTTTTCAAAGATAGAATTGGCTGTCTTGAAACAGGAAAATGTATACAGTTGCGCACAAAAGATGCGAAAACAGAAAAAGTATTCAAGTTTTGTCCTGATATTTATATGTTTCATATTTTGGCTTTAGCAGGAACACTGAGAATTCTCGGGATTATAGCATATGGGATAATAAGGGGGTGGGGCTAGCCCCGCCATCACATTTTGGTATTTAGGATTTATTTGGAGATACTTATGTCTGGGGGTGAGGTGATCGATGGGCTTACTCCGTCACACCTCTTTTTATTTTTGGTCGAAGCCCTCTATTGGTCGATTTCAATCAATATTGATGTGGTTATCTTGCCGAGAAAATGTGGGATCCTAATAAACATGTTAAAATCAGTACACGAGTCGTGTATTCTACGGTTTCGGGTGTCATTTATAATGAACAAAAAGAAAATGCATATCATACAACACTGTGCAAAAGTAATTAGTAATGGAGTATTCACAAACCATAAAATCGTAATCAAAAACGCGTAGAAGAACTGACTAATCAGGAGTAAACGACTGCTGTTCAGTTTGGATTATTCATATATTTCACCGAACAATATTCATTAGAATTTACAATAAAAAAAAGTAGAAATTGAATATAAATCACTTTATATACATTATTATTCTGTGCTTTTAGACCCATTTCGTTTATTCTAAGGTTCCAATAAATAGAGCCATGCTCCCTTTAATACAAACAAACTAAATGTAGGCGTATGAAAAACGGGTAAATATCTTGTTGATCTCCAACATTATAGAGGGGTCGATATAAGTCCATTGCACGGGTTATGTAGTCCAGTTTGATATAAGAGAAAGGTGATAAAGTGTCAGAAAATTAATTGGCTATCATACAAAAATACAAACAAACAAGCAAAAAATCAACGGTTATTATGAAATAACCAGTATCATTCAGCTTTATTGATTAAATCTATTCATTCTGTGTAATTAAATTTCCTTTCTGTCGTCTCACCGGGTATTTAAGATCATCTCGAATAAGTCTCTGTAATTGTGTACATCATTTACACGTGCTGTTGCCAAATGCGTCATTTTATTTTTATCTGCATTGTCTAATGCTTTTTCATAGATCTTATTATACATACAAGCTGCGGTCCATGGATTTTCTTAACAGAATTTTTCTTGATTAAACTATGTCTGTTACAAAAAAGTATATTAAAATTTTCCAGCAGCCAAATATAGAGACGCATGCCCACAAACACAGCAACTTGCAATTGCAATGCTCTTTCCCTCTCTTTTTTCCCCTTTTGCGTGTCCATTTTTTTAAAAAAATTCATTTTGGTCTAGAATGGAATTTTCTGCCTGGTTAACAGGTTGGTTGTGGTGGTAAGTACGGCGACTAGTTACAAGTTTTTTGTATGCTATTCAAGTTTATGTATCTCAAAATTTTGGTGGTCAACCTCAAAAAATGTTGGTGCACAGACATGACCATATCTGTCTGTGGTGTATAATATTGAGCTCAACGAAAATTTAGAGGAAAGTTGGAGCCGGGAAAAGAACAGAATTAAGATGGGGAAATAAATTGTGGTCTGCATGCATTGATTTTTTTCTCAGCTGCTAAATGTAGTTGCTTCCCCTTAAATCAAAACCTAAACTCTGTCGTTCGGTGCACTGATCTCTGTTATTTATAGAGATCAGAACGTTCGGCTGTTATCGGCAATAAGATACGGGTTGTCCGTATGTGGTTATAACAGTCTTTGGAAACAGGTTATTGTTTCCTGTCATTTGTTTATAGACAATTTAAAATCTTCTAAAATTTTCAAGGAATGATGAAAATTACTTTGTTATCATTTATTTATTATAAGACCTTCATAGTATTGAATTTCGGAGCTATATTTCGTTTTATCGGGTGCAACGAGTTGGCGATATGATCAGACTGTTGGTGCGACATATAAAATCGAGACTACCATAAATTAAGTCACATGATATTGACTTCCGCCTTTACAAAATGGAGACTCCACTTGTTATTGGAATTGTGACTGCTTTTTGGTTCTTCGTTGGGGCAGTTTTACCTGTCCTTTTACAATTTTTTATGTGGCGTTCGCCGAATAAAGGGTTGGTTTATTGATAACATAGATTTTTTAAATGTTTTGTGGTTGTAATCATATTTACTTTTAATGGTAAAGTTGGCGTATTTCATCCTAAAATAGTGTCTTGTGACAAGCCAGTCAAATGACAAAAATTGCTGAGATACCTGCGTCGCTATGAAAATGAACAGTAATGTAGTGACTAAAATAATATAGCATACAAAGGTTATTCAATGACCTTGTTAATTTTCTCTTTATTTTCAGTGTATCATATAGTCTGAATTAAATATAGTAGTAATATTAAGATAGGCTCTACAATATGCCCTTATTAATGGCAATGCTATATAATATTACATGTTTCAGTATTTATGATTTTATCCCTAAATTATGTACCATAAACAACAATTATTAAATCAAGTGAATGGATTTGGGGGGCCAACCGTAAGTGTCCACTGCACTGTACAGTACCAGGCCTGTATTGATTGATACAAGCTTCACTCAACAAAATGGAAAAAAAAAAAATGATTTACAAGAAAGACGTAACAGAAATAATGCGACTGATATTGACGGGGTAGCACAACATTTCGGTCTCGCGTTTTTACTGATTCAACACAGACGGTCTGTAAAAACAGTGCATGTCGTGTAAATATTTACTTTTGTTTTTGTGTAAGGTCATTTTGAAATAACTTAACACCATATTATTCCTTTTTTAAAAAAATATTACTTTTACTGGAAGTGATGATTATCAAAGAACTGTTAAGGGCCACTAATGTTTTATCGTTTGGTGGAGCCTTTTGATAACCATTTGTTTCATGTTAATATTTTCTTTCATGTTTTGAATTATTTCAAATAAATTCATCGGCTACATTTTTATATACATATTACAGATATAAAGAAATAAAACATTCTTTTCATTTGGAAATTTTGCCGTTCCTTAAGAGATCTATACAGTGCGTGATCAGCGACTTCACGTGCTGTACTTGATGGCGAGCGGTAAATTTTACCTGAATGTTATTTTTATAAGATCATTTTTAGCTTATTATAAATTGATTTGACAGTTGTGTTCAGCCTTTCGTTTCAACTTATTCCCGAGTCCGAAACTTCACCTACCCAAGTCCGAAATGTCACCGGCCAAAAGCTGAAATGTTGAGGCCAAGTCCAAGATAACACAGGACCCAAATGACATGTAATCCTTGATGGTAGTCGTCTATTGAATAGCGATAGTCTAAATAATAAAGTGTAGCGAATTGAACAAGATTTTGTATGGACATGAAATAGCATGTGCATTTGCTAAATTGAGATGGATCTGCTAATCTGCTAACTTTAAGTAATGTGAGAATATATATTTATTTATTACATATTTTTTTTTCAGGATCTACCAAATTATGTTAATTCTCACAGCAGTGTGTTGTTATATTTTGTAAGTTTCTTCTTCTGTTGTTTAGTTTATGCAGCCATATTACATGGACGTATGATTAAAGCATACTCTGTCATAATCCCTTGTTCACATAATTTGCACATTTCACTTAGTAGAATTGAACCAGTAAATTTGGATACATGTAGGTGTGGGATAAAAAAAAACAAAAACAGCCTTCTAGATTTTGTTATGCATATGTAATAAGCCATAAACAGAATTTATGACAATTTGCAAGTTTTTAAAACACCTCCCAGAAAGTGTGTTGATCACAATCCATGAAAATAAAAATGCCACGATTCAAATAACTGCAATTATGTAAGTAAAGTCTAAGAGTATATTTGTAATCTAATTTGAATATCTCCAATTAATGTTAAAGTATACAGTAGTCAAACCAGAAATTATTATTGCCTCTTTAAAGATACATTATGGGAGATTAGATAAAGAGCTGGCAGTTTTCACTATAATAGTTAAAAACTAGATAATGTAAAGTGAATTTGCTAAAAATTTAAGTCAGATTGATCCCCTCTGAACCGAGAATTTAGTGATTGAATTTTGGGGCTAGTCTCGATCATCATTACTAAAGTTGGTACAATAAAATACATGGTCTCGATTATCCATTTCTTGATTTAATCATGAATGAGCGTAGAGCAGCAGATCGGATCCTAATCCAGTAAATATCGCAGTTGATTATGGTTTGGATAAGTTAATTAATGTCTAACTGATAATTTAGATAACATTTCAGGCCTAAAGAAAGACCTGCAATAGGCAGATTAGCTCTTGCATAATGTACGTTTTACTTCTGTCAAAAAGACACACCCAGAAGAAGATCACACCTTTCAATTAAATAACAGAATTTAATATTACTGTGTATTTTCTTTTTTCCAGCTGGTTGACCGCTTATTTATGTCAATTAAATCCACTATTTGGACCACAATTATCAGTAGATATGATTCGATTTATGCAGATGGAATGGAAATAATGGTAACATATCTTATATTACCTTGGGAAAGAATTATAATAAATTATATATATATGTGTTAATACGAAAGTACACGTAGACATCTATGGGTCAATTCTTAGAAAATATATTTTTGATAGACAACAATAGAAAAATAAATCCAAACATTGTAGGTGACTATAATGACATCCACAATATGATAAATACCCACATTCTGGGCTCTGTAGAAACGATTTTGAATATAACACGAATTGAATAAAGGAGGCCTTAGGCATATAGGCTATAAACCTATCAAACACAACCTGTAGTAACATTTTAATATTGTATTGTGTTTGTATGGTATGAGTATTGACATGAGGGAAGAAAAAATAATATTTCTTGAAAATCCCTCAACAAAAAGTTGTGCAAAGTAAGAATTTCTTGTACTTCCCCTTTATCAATCATATTGTTTTGTAAAAGTTGTAGTCTACATGGAACTACTCTTCTTCTATTTTTCAGTAAGAATTATGAACAAGGAGAGAATATAATGGAATTCCAATTATCTGGTCATGTCATGTAACCTAGAATAAAATATTCATTGTAAAATATACTCTTCAAAAAAAAAGGAAACGCATAGCCCATTTTTCATCATTTTTTATTTGAACGATCGTTGTTTCCATAAATGTTACTTGTTTTTAATGTCATTATGTAAGGATAAAAGAAATTCATTATTGGTTTTAAATGCAAGGTCACTAATTGTGACTGGTCATACTTTATGCCGAAATTTGCTTTCACTTGATTGCACCAAGACACATGTGTTTAACAACTGCCCAAATCTAAGGATCTCAGACTGTAAACTCCAACTGTTTTGAAATACGCCGCCACTGTCAAGTCCGATTTCAATGGGTTCAGATACACAGGGTATGGCCACAGCATCGCTGGAGAACAGTTTGGTTCAGCGACGAGTCGCAGTTCCTGTTGCAACGAAGCGATGGCAGAGCGAGGGTATACCGACGCCGAAATATCACTATGCCTTTCTTTTTTTTGAAGAGTATATAAAATTAAAATTTCTATTTTATGTAGAGAACTTTTGTTAATAGATCTTTATTTACCATATATTGTAGAGTACTATTCATTTATACACTGATTGGTGGTAGGGCCTTCCTTGGATGTCACAGAAATCTAGCTATTTTTATGCAAAATTTAGCGGTATGATTCTGACAGCCATCAATTTTATTATTTGAACTGTTATTAAGTATCCTCATGACAGATGATGTTGAAGAAATTAATTATAATATGTACATGTATATAAGATGTTCTTTAAATGATTTAAATATCTTTGGTAATGAATACATTTAAAGTACAATGTATATTGAATGTCTTGTACTAGTGAATGCATTTTATTATGTGTAATTAGTATTGTATGTGTCAAACATGGCTGTGACTGACTGTTAAAAATTTAATGTCTTTGTGTATTTAAAACAAATGTCTTTGTGTATCTAAAATAAAGTATATCTGAAACCTAGCTTTTGAAGAAATTTCATTAGTTCATAGAGTTATTTCCCCTGAAGTAGAAAAAAACCTGACAATATGTTGCTACCAGTACCAAGAAATTAATCTGCCAAGGCGCGGTGAATCATTTGCTGACACCTGTAGTTTGCTGAGGCAGGCATGCAGGCCAACTTCAAAAATATATATATATTTTTATACGCCCACATTGAAATATGGTCGTATATTGTCGTCGCCCCCGTCCGTCAGTCTGGCGTCCACAAGCAATTGTGGTCGTATATTGTTGTCGCCCCGTCCGTCCGTCGGTCCGGCGTCCGCAATTGCTTGTGGATGCTCTAGAGGCTAAAGTTAATATCCGATTGACTTTAAATTTATATACAGTGTTTAAGGCCATGAAACGAAGAAGCCTATTGATTTTCAGCGATTTCCGATAATTACTGCCCGAGTTATGGCCCTTGATCCGATTGACTTTAAATTTATACACAGTGTTTAAGGTCATGAGACGAAGAATCCTATTGATTTTCAGCGATTTCCGATAAATACTGCCAGAGTTATGGCCCTTGATCACTTAAAAAAATCTTGTGGACGCTCTACAGGTCAAAGTTAATATCCGATTGACTTTAAATTTATACACAGTGTTTAAGGCCATGAGACGATGAAGCCTATTGATTTTCAGCGATTTCAGATAATTACTGCCCTTGATCACTTTGAAAAATCTTGTGGACGCTCTAGAGGCTAAAGTTAATATCCGATTGACTTTAAATTTTTACACAGTGTTTAAGGTCATGAGATGAAGTCTATTCATTTTTAGTGATTTTCGCTATTTACTGCCAGAGTTATGGCCCTTGATCACTTTGAAAAATCTCGTGGACGCTCTAGAGGCTAAAGTTAATATACACAGCGTTTAAGGGTATGAGGCGAAGAATCCTATCGATTTTCAACGATTTCCGATAATTACTGCCAGAGTTATGGCCCTTGGTCAATTTGAAAAATCTTGTGGACGCTAAATCGTTCGGGAAATCAACAAGAGTTATCGCATAGTTTTACTTGTGTCGGTAATTTATAATACACTAAAATCTGATTGGTTAAAACAATATTTATTTGCAAAGTTTACAATTTTTATAGCTGAATTACAGTATATAGGATAGGAAAACCAGCATGAAGCGGATATGAAAGATATCTAGAATATACACACATATACATAATTGAACAAAACAAATAAACAAAAATTTCAAAAAAAGATGGTGCGGGGTAGTCATCAGTGTCGAGGAAAGCAGGCAGTAAGCATTTTACTATGGTTTAATTCTGGACAAGGATTACGTAAGGTAAACTCACAATTTGAATCGTTTAGTTTGATTTATGAAGGTTCCTAAGGTGTTGAATATTTAATGATTAATATCTGGAGGAACATTTTCAATTCGAAAGAGCAGTAGGACTACTTTGGTGTTTTGATATTTTGGATCAAGTGTATCCAATGTTTTAGATCGTGAGTCGTTATATAGTGGACAATGAATAAATGGTCACAGTTTTCAACTGATTATGTTGGTATAATTCAGATGACACTGTTGGTAGCAATGACGTATTTAGTAGGTCCCCTACTGCCTTTTCTAAAAACGGCACTGGTCAAGGCGCCTTGGAAAGGTGCATAATTGACGTTGATTAAAACCACATTCGTCACTATGCTTTTTAAATTTCCTGCAAAAAGTTGTCCACATAAGAAGGTTATATCATCATTACAGAAGCCGATGACCTGTCCAGATGTGATACAGTGTATCTATTTTTAGACAGAAATTTCCAATCCACTCATAACTCCGGAGTGTTCATTTTAACTCATTCCATTTTTTTAAAAAAAAGGTCCTACGCCGCGGTGTCTATTGATTAAATTGTCTTTCAGTGGCAAACTGATGTATAATTCCGATGAGCACATATTTTCAGTTAGTAAAAGACAGGGTTTTCCAGACACCTGGATATACCCACACGTAGCTAATTAACCAGTTTTATTCAGTAAAGTATACATCATCGAGGTGCGGTGCCGTTGGTGTAAGACGTGACGCTTGGTCAAATGGCACTGCTACATACTCATTGCTAGGCCTCTCCCGGTGCGGTCTATTGGCAGGACTAGTATTACCTCGATTGTGTGAATCTATGCGACCCCTGATCACAGTGTGGTGTCTGATAATAGGTATTTGCAATTTAGGATTTGATCTCTTGGTTAACGATTGCCTGAACCTAGTGATAATCCGCCATTTTCGAATATTTTTTCTCACTCTCACTCGCTGATCACTTCCAGGCACCCGCACCGTTACACAGGGCGCGTGTCCGTTGGCAATATTTGAACCATCTTCGTCGTTGTTGACTATAAAATTTACATTAACGTTTCCACTGCGAATTCTTGTTATAACTGGAGAATGTCTTGGGCTGAGGTTAATATCAACTCGACGTCTTCCTGGTGAACCTCTTGCAACAGGTGGAATGGACAGAAGCAACTCCGGCATATTCCTGTTAATGCACGACGAACCAGAACCAACGAAAGGTGGCCCGTTTTTGTTTTCAATTGTCTGGTTGTCGTTATTTGTTTGACTTCTATTCGATTTTGAAGATTTGTGGCAGCAATATCCATCTTGTTTGTATCGTAGAAGAAGTATTACAATAATGGGGGTAATCAACAAAGCTATCCCAAGACAGATAGCTATTATGATCACTGTCGAAGGTTGTAAAAACAGTTCCATCATTTTGGTAAGTCTGTTCGTATCTAGCCGACAATGTTTAAATGTCGACTAATATGAAATAGAAATGCTTATTAATATAACAGACCTATCACTGACACTGGAAATATTAACCACAGATATTTGAAACTGGGAAATAAGGATTGCCATAGTAACCATATGTATGTTTCTTCAGCCCGGTTTCCATTTCAAATACAGCGTGTTATTTGCGCTCCGCTCAGCCTCCAAGAATAAAACTGAATCGTGGTATAATTTAGAATTTAATTTATTCGAATGCAGAACCCCTTGGAGGATTTTGGTGAAATGAAATAGGGTTTGATGTGTAGAAATTGTGATCGGTACTATTCTTAGAATTCCAATTGTCATGGGTTCTTTTACGTGCACGCCAGTGTGTGCGGGTTTTCGTTCCATCCGAACGACTAGGCAATGACAATATGAAAACCAATATGGAAAATCCCGAGGAACTTTTTCGGGCAGCACTCACCCCAGAACGTCATTTGTAGGATTGAGGAATCACTTGTTGACTACAAAATTGAGAATGTTGAACCTTTAAAATGAATTTCAGCTCTAAAATGATTCAATTCCGTTAATTATTTACAAAGATATGACGAATTGAGACCGCTTAAGAGTTTTTCGTCTACTAGCCCGGAGGTCGCGGGTTCGCTCCAAGCGTTGGCCGAGAAATTTCATCGGGATTTTCCGGCGTGCATTTCCCCATTTCGTCTATAACCCCCTTAAGCAAGCCGGCGCCATCTTTACGTTTCGATTAACGTCTTTTAATCCAAACCGAGAGGTTACGAATGACCATATTTACTTGTAGGCAAATAAAGCTATAATAAAACCAACCATATTGTATAATACTATTTATCTATATTTCCAGTTTTACATATTGTAATATACAGTATAAATATACAGAAATACAATGTATAATGAAAATTAATAAAGGAACCAAATTCTTTTTTTATCATAGTCTATGATACCACTGAAGGTACATTTTAAATCCACCCAGATTAATACCGAAGGATTTTGTTTAGTAGTTCCATGTATCATGGGTTGAAAGGAAACCGTAAATATTTTATCAAAAATTTAACGTGCGCTCCGCTCGGCGAAAGATTCGATTGACTGTACTTCATCCTTTGCCAATGTATTTGCTCTCGCTACGGATCATAAGCAGAATTAATTAAACCAATAATGATCCGAACGGTAAGGCTTCTATGGTAATAAATAATTTGAATCCAGACAGAAGCTTATATTAAATAAATCCAAAAGTAGCTACAACTGTATATGAAACTGACCCCTTTAATATGCTTGAAATATATAAAAGTTAATACAGACAACATGAACTAATGGCGTAAGTCCATTAAACCACATTTAGATTATATCTTATAAAATATTTCATTTTTAAATCTATACAATATATACTATTTAATTCTATACAAAAAATAAGTATATAGCGATTTATAAAATAGCATTTCAGGAGGCTTTCTCAAAAACGTCTGAAAAACCTCATAAAAATATCTTCTCTCGAGGTTAATCCGGCCACCTTGTGCAACCTAAAAACGTATTTTTAACTATTTTTGTATATGATATAGAAAAATAAAATTATAGAATGAAAGTATTTGGTGAATTTAGGCTCTCGTCAGTTGAGGAAATAGATCGTAAATACGACTTTTGTATCGTTTCGTTTAAAAGTGTTCTTGATTAATGTTTGGTGACCATTTATTAATACATGCACTAAATCGTATGAATGAGGTTGCCAGCGCGATATAGGTTTTATAAATTCAAGCATCGGTAATAATACTTATATGTAAAAAGCCTAATACATACAAAAATATATTGTTTTAATACTAAAATAAGGAGTATAAAGCAAACTTATATAATTAAATATAAATAATTCGTTATCGAAATTGTAATACTATCACGTAATACAAAGTTGCATACATCTTAAAGTAGCTAAATCTCTAACTCTGTTTTATTGTCAATAATCTTCGAAATAAGAATTTAATATTGGTCCATTTCAATCAGTATGTGAAAATATTAGACCCTGGTATCTAATATTTAATACACACTTCAAAATCAGTACTCTACGTAGTGTTCTCTATACGCTCGCGCGCCATTGGTGATGAACGAGGCAAAACGTTAGTACACAAGTGAAATGCAAAACTGCACTCCCACTGTAGACTGGAGAAACAAGAAGCAAGCGACTACAATTAGCTGATTAGAAATTACAAACAAAATTTTAAAAATTGAATGAAAATTCGAGGTTCTAAAGAATAGAGATTTAGCTCCTTTAAACCGTGGGCATGGGATAGTTGACGTTAAATATTTGATCAGATCGACTCAATACCATGTGTTTCCCAATGTGTATTCCATCTTTTGGCCATATTATGGATTATCAGAAACAAGCCAACTTTTTTCCACTAAATAAGAAAGCACCAACTTTTACATCAAATGACCAGAATGTACGCCGAAATATCAAATATCCAAATCTCATCAGATATTTTGCTCGTCTTAATGAGCGACCGGTTTTCAATCATAACATTTATTTTCTTGTAAACATGAGCTATTTGTTTAAAAAGTCAATGATACTCCGTACTACCTGGCCAGTTGTAATGTCTTGCGCGCTCACTTTAATTTCTGTATCCCCGAAACACATTCGAATTTGAATTTCGCGCCGATACGCTGACTCCTGGATTTCATACTGGGATAGATCAAGGGTTAGTGTTCCACATTTTCTCACACCCTGGTCCGTAATAAATTGGACGTGTTCATTTTCACTACAATACATATTGATGATGCTCTTGGTTTGCCCCGAAACTGCTGGGGTATAACTCTTCACCACTACATCCCCTAACGCTACGGCTTCGTCCGTACAGACAAATTTTTCAAACACATCCGTGCACCAGTCTTTGCCGTCTCTTGTGACGAGTTTTGATTCCGGATGTTTCTCAGGATCGAAGCGGTTAAGCACACCTATACCATACGTCACCCTGGATCTGCGAACATTAACCACCATTGGATCCAATCCAAACATTACAGCACCTACAAAATACAATGTAAATTGATATATAAACAGATATTACGTCACACGAACTACATCCACCCACCCGTTGTAACGCGTATAAAAACGTCTATATCAGAGCAACGGATTAAGACTAGCATATATATCTCAAATTTGACATCCAGTCTGAATTGAAATACCCGGTAGAACTACTGTATATAGTCAAAACACGCAAATTAAGTCCGTTTTGATTTTCCCAATTACTTCTATTGTTAAGTAGAAGGAATGACAAAGAAACATGGCGATCATGATATCCCAAAAGTTCTAATCTCTCCTTAATTAAATTTGCTGTATAAATTGCTGAAATTTACCTTTAAGAATGGCTAAGCTGACGGCTTGGGGTATTAAAACTTTAACGATATGATTTTTATCGCTGTCGAATTCTTTACGTATCTCATGTTGCAAAATAGGCGATTCTGCGAATCCTCCTACCAAAAACATATACTTTAATCCTGCAAAATATAATATATTACAAAACAATGTACAGCACATTCATTAAACAACACGACATATGTACACATTAAAGACAGGTTGTCGGGTAACGAAACTAAGTCGTCCGCAGTCTACAACGGTTGTCGCATAATTATTATGTTGTAAGTAATGGGAGCTTTCACAAGACACTAAAATCTGAAGTAATTAACAGAAATAATTCAAATATGACTGCCTTGTTATTCTTCCTGTGTATATAACTTGCAAGTCGAGTGGATAACATTAGAGCGCCATCACACTTTTTCAAACTGACCAATGACCATAATTCCGACAGTGATTATCGGAAATCCTTGAACATCACGAACTTAAACACCGTGTATTAATACCAAGTCAATCAAATAATAACTTTAGCTTCTTAAAACTACAAGTCAACTGGATAATAATTGTGGCCTCTAGGCGTTCACAAAAAAATTCAAATTGACCAAGGGCGATAACTCCAAGAGTTAGGAATTGTGAACTTCGGATGGGCATGGCTGTGACGATAATATATCCTGTTTCAAAGCCCCGAAAATGAAATTACTGATTTCTGCTAAACCTAAGCAGAAAATAAATAATCGTCGTTGAACTGGGTTAAGGCATTCTTCTAATAAATAACTACGCCAAATTCGAACATTCTAGCTCAGTTAGTCAGACAGACAAACGCAAGTTCGGCAGAGGCGGTTCGTAAGCTATACTTTACCTATCGCTAAGTAACGGCTGTGTTCGTAAAATGATATACTTAGATTTGAAATTGGATAGGATTTTCCATTTATAGTTCGCCAAGATATGTTTAATAAATATATTTTCCTGTCAATGGTTATGTATTTAGACTCTCGACTGCAAAATGCTGTCTACTGCCTACTTCAGTTATTCGGTCTGTTATGTTGATGCATTCAACTGTCCAGTAAATTTACCTTCTGAGATACAGTACATTACATGGCCACAGTTCAATTTGGGTCTATAACAAATTGAAATAGCTTACTACGACAATGTGGATGATTGATGATATCACCAATAGCTTGTTTGATTTTATCTAGGGTAGGAGCGAAGAGAAGTTTCATGGCTTCTGGACTCAGTCTTAACATCCCTTGTGCTGACCATCTGACGTCATGATCGCCATGTTTCTTTACCATCACTTCTACTTGTTTACCCTAGTAACATAAAATTGACAATAAAAATAATCAGAACAATAAGGCCAGATTAGAATCATAAGGTCTATTACAGATTCCAAATATAATATAATGTTTTAACTGGAATGTTAGGACACGGCTGTCGTCTTCGGTAAGTTAACTTGGTAGACACTGTAAGTAATCCCCAAGAAAAGAACACCATGGCACCTTGGTTACGGGTTACTGACTGTATGAAGTTTGAATGCTATAATCTTTGTTTTAAACTGTACAATTTAATAAGCTTATAGAATATATATTAAGGAATTGTATATAATTACATTAATATTTTATTTTGAGTTTTTCCCCAGATACTCCTGTCAATGTATATATTAACTGTGACGAACCTTGCCACCCAACGAAATATACGCATACAGCAGCTCAGTCGTCCGCACTAGTCCATGGAGGTTGTCGCCTTTTTAATCTTAGTAGACATTAACAACTGATCAAGGACACAAGCTCATGAAGTTATTATCAGAAATAACTAAAATTTGGTTGCCTTCTAGTTCTTCCTAGCGCTAACAGAAACATAAATTATACCGGTAACTTTGCGTATTATGGAGATCTATAATTACAATTTACCGTTCTAGTGTTACATTTCTAAATAAAATGTATCACTCCTCTAACGGCCTTACATAAATATATAATCTATATGGTTAATCTATATAAATAATCGTACCTTATGTTTTTTATGGTAATCTATAAATGAAAATGGAAGAGAAACGTTGGATGAAGTAGGTTTTGCCGGATTTGCTGATCTTTTCCTTGATTCAAAATTGGTCATGAGATTAACCCAACCTACAGGATATCTTTGTTTATATTGTGTAATAAATTCTGGACCAAAAATACAACCCAATAACTTCTCAAACTCTAGATCAACACCTGAAAATAACAATGGTAAAAAGAATATTGTAGCAGCGCTGACGGGTTTCATTCACTTTTAATGGTAATGGTAGTGTTTACAAGACACTGGTGTCAATTAATACCAATCGGATGCTAACTTTTGTTGTGTGAAATTAATGGAAAATGTTGAAATTCAATAGACTTCCGTTTTACTAATTCAAATAATGATATAGATCGAATGATAACTTTTATTGTTGGAGCATGTATGAAGTAATACAAGCGACATAACCCTTGAATTAATTAACGGAAATTGTTTTACTAATTTAAATAATGCATACAAATTTCATACAGATTGGATAATCTTTTTTGAATTTACAAGGTTATACAAAGTGAAACAAGGGCCATAGTCCAGAAGCTGCTAGCGGAAATTGTTAAAATTAGATAGGCTTCTCCGTTTTATTAATTTAAACAGAGCAGACAAATTTCATACAGATCGGACGATAACTTATTTCATTTGATCATTCACAAGGTTCAACAAAGTGAAACAAGGGCCATAGTTGAAATTGTTGAAAATCGATAGAATTCTCCATTTTACATACCTGTAGCTCCATGTGGTCCGCCTGTAGCTTTGTGTAGTTCTATCAATTTTCCCGCCAAACTGAGTTCGTGAACCGTGATGTCAACAGTACCACCACCACAATCAACCACCATGTATCTAGTTCCTATAGTGATGATAAAATGGCTGATTAAATATTATAGTATCACTTGCAAGTTTCGTTTTTCCCCATTCTTCTGCGATTTTCAAGCAGAGTTACTACAGATACCAGCCCGCCCAGATGACAATAGTTACAGAATTCAACATATAGATACATGTAATATGTAACAATTGGACAGCGTGAGAAAATAACATTTTCACTGTGATGTAATTTCATGATCGCAAGGAATTACCTCATTCAAATCATGCATTTAAAGTACATATAGATATACTGATAACCAAAAGAAACTATACCAAGTCTTCAAGAAACTACTGAGTAAAATCCTTGTATGTTCAAAATACACGAACAATTCAAAATACAACACGCCATTATCCAAATTATAAGACATTTAGTACGTTTTACTTGATATAGATCTTTTGACCGTCATTATACACATAGAAATGTAATACCATCGTGCATGTTGTATACTATGTTAGTAACAAGCAAAATAATACTGCAAAATAAATCGGGCCTATTTCTACTATCGGTAGAAACAAACATTAATAAAATATACATTTTAAAGTGAACTCAATGCCAAGAGTCATAGCATCATGTAATGAACAAAAAAACTTGGAAACTCTAGCCCGTAAAATGGTCATAGTATTCTGCGAAGTGTTTATACATGGGCGTATAAAAATTATTTTGCCATCAAATAAGAAATATTTTACAGTATTATTCTATAAATAATGATCGTGCAGTAAGGGATACTGTTGAAATATGAGAATTGAATACACTAGTATATATTGAGATGCATTATTTGTAAAGTATCAGGTTATTTCAGACAAGATATTACATTTAAATTAACATTTTCAATATAATAATAGCTTCACATGTACAAATAGCAAATAGTTCTTATGGACCTAATAAGAAAAAAACGTTATAATTTCAGATTTCGATACACTTTAAGAACAATGATAATAGCTGAATAAATCCAGTATTTGGTATTGTAAGTCAAGCTATAAAGAGAACAGAAACGTTGCAAAAAGATGTGAAAGTTGAATATAAGATATGTATCAAAAGATAATAAATAAGCTTAATTATATATTTATACATCCATACACACCAAATTCAGAAGCTGGAAATAAACCACACCAATATATATAATATCAGTAAATCCTTCACCGGTTAGAATAATAATATCAGAGATATATTTAATGTGTAGCAAAAGATAAATATTATCTTTTATATTTAGACAAATAATTTATAATTAAAGTTTAGATTAATAACACCTAGCGAAAATACCCCAGACAAGAAACGGGAAAGATAGTTTGCAAGGCATCTGGTCAGTGCACAAGGGTTGTCGCATAATTTGCTCTGCTGTCGGTAATGGAAACATTTAAAAGACATCAAAAACTTATTAAGAATAACGACCCATTACGATGATAAAGGCAGCTGTTAAAGTTTTCAGAAATCAGAAGGTGTCTTCGACCCATAACTATAACCACTGTGTATAAATTTAAAAGAAATTGGGTGATATTTTGGACTCTAGAGCGCCCACGCGATCTTTTAAAGTAATCAAGGGCCATAACTCTGGCAGCAATTATCAAATATCGTGTATAAATACAAAGGCATTCGTGAGACAACTTTATCATTTTTGTCTCATGAACATATACACTGTGTATAAATTTTAAGTTAATTGGATGATAACGTTGGCCTTCAGAGCCTTCCACCAAATTTTTCAAATTGATCGAAGGCCATAAACTCTGGTAGTAATTATCGAAAATCGTTAACAATCAATATGTTTCTCCGTCTGACGTGGAAAAATATAAATTCAATCGGTTATTACAAGTCGGCCTTCAGAACGTCTACAAACAATTGTGGTACGGACACCCCGGGTTGACGAGAATACACGGCCACATTTCTTTCAGTCCAAATGTTTCCAGGCATGTAATTTGAATTATAGTCGTATATAATATGAAATGAGAAACATGAGCTTGTGATATATTACTGATTTAACATTAATTTGAACAATACTTATTAATATTCATCATAACTTCTAAATCAACAAAGTTCAGAAAATTCTAATAAGTGAAATGCAGTGTGAGAAGAACATTCTTTGTGTACATGTTTGTAAGATGCCTGAAGATTTCATGCAAGAACAAAGAGCAACTTTTCATTGTCGGGATTAAGTTTCTGGATAATGCGATTGTCAACAATAAATAGATATGAAAGAGAAATTGATGTGTAACACACCTCTCATAGAGGAATCCAGTGTCTGGTTGGGTGATAATTGTAACGGAAAACTGTATTCTGTAGGACTTACGTCTGAAAGGAGAATTAATTTGTTTAAAGATAAGTTGCCAAGCAACATAACATACGCCCACAGCAACTAAATCGACCGGGCAGTCGACAAGGGTTGTCGCATATTCATTTTTTTGTAGTTTATTGGGCGCACTTACAACACAATTTCATGCAGACCAGATTATAATTTTCGTCCTTTGAGGGTTCACAAGGTTCTACAAACTGAAACACGGGCCTTAATTCTGGGAGTAATTTACGGAAATTGTTGAAATTCGACAGGCTTTTACGTTTTACTAATCTAAATAATTCATATAAATTTCATACAGATCGGATGATAACTTGTGTCATTCAAACATTCACGTGGTTCAACAAAGTAAAACAAGGGCCATAACTCTAGAAGGGATTGACGGAAATTGCTGAAATTTAATAAGCTTCTTGGTTTCACTAATTTAAATGATGCATGTAAATTTCATACAGATCGGATGATCACCTTTGTCGTTAGAGCGTTCACAAGGTTCAAAAAAGTGAAACAAGGGCCACAACTTCAGATGAAATTATTGAACTTAAATAGGCTTCTTCATCTCACTGATATATCAATTTCAAAACAATCAGTTGATGAATGTGAACAATGGACGGACGGAGGCGATTACAATATACGACCACATTTCCATGTGGGCGTTTAAAAATACAGCAGGTCTTAGGGATAGCTGGAGCAAACGGAATTTGCTAATCGTAATTTTATCTGAAACTAAGAATAATTGGTTTACAACTCGTTTAGCAAATATATCATGTCTGTTTCTGAAATGGTAAAGGGTTTAAAATTGTCCTTTGTATTACCATGGGATGACGGGTTCACAGCAATCTGTGTACAAGCAAGTGGCCCAAGCTCTGAAACGATAACGGGTTAAAATGTGTTAGGATTTTCCCGGATAACGGTTAAAAGAACAAATAGTTACAGTTCGTTTTGAGTTTTTGTCTATAGTAACAGCTTTATATTAAATACATTCTAAAATAAATGTTAGCTGCAGGTTCTTCTGAAATAAATGTTAGCTGCCGGTTCTTCTGAAATAAATGTTAGCCGTGCGTTCTTCTGAAATAAATGTTAGCTGGACGTTTTTGTTAGGCAATATACGACCACATTGGGTGTATAATAATCTATGTGCTACACATTGGCGTAGTGAGAGTTTGCAATGTCAAAATATCCGCCGTCTGGATGCAAAATTAGAAGTTTCGACCGTAAGTTAGTTTTAAAACAATATGCAAATGTGTAACGCAAAATCCCCTGAAAATGATACAAAACCTGACATATCGTGGATAATAATGTTTGTAATCAGAAACAAAGGAAATCCTATACGAAATCAATAGAGATTAATTATGGTCTTTCGGCAGGTTTTCATGCATACAAATACTCTATCTACTACTGTTTTAATATAATAGTGTTGCTATGGAAATCTTTTCAACAATACATATCAGTAATATATTATTAAAAAGCATTATTTTTGAAGCAGATGAATCAAAGTCATGATTTTGTGCTTAGTATATTCATTTTTATAAGCCGACGATATTTGATACACAAATCAACAACATGCTTTTAAAGTAAACAATCAATTAGATCTGTATAGCTCCGGTCCGTGGGTGTTAAAGGTGGCATCTTTAATCTTAAACAAACTTAAAAATAAGAAATAGTGCAAAAATAATGTACGATATCTCTTTCCAATAGCTTAAATGATATTATGAGCTATGTTTATAACATTTTAAATCTGAAATACATGTATGTAAGTATTGGGTAATGATATATTACCTATATGGACGTTAGTACAGGCCGGGTTGTCGTCTATTTCTTCTGGATGAGAATGCTTGGGTGATTGTAAAGGTCGCTGTATTGGGTATTCGGGGATTAACTGATGCATCTTTAACTTCCGACAGTATATAGATGCAGCTTCCGGTTCTAGAGCTATAAGGAGTTTATCAGGAGAATCAGAAGATACCAAACCAGCCTAGAAAATAAAACATTTCTTGAAATAAAACTTCAGTTGAATTTTAAAGTATTTACTGGGGTTTCAATGAATACATACGAAAATAGAAACTAACCACAAATATCTGGTGCTTCTGGCGGTATAATTATATGATGTTTTAGAATGTAACTTAAGAACAAACAGCTACCAGAAAATACGCTAACCTACTTGATTTAATATAGATACATGCTAGCTATATGGATTTCTAGCTGCATTAAAATATTTAAGAATATTGTTATTCAATATCTTTTTTTTAAATATGTGCAGACCGGTTCTTTAACAAAAATATTAAATATTAAAAGCTCAAATATTAAAAGATTTCTCGCCACTCGGGGAAACACCAATTGTTTTCTGTTGGAAGTTGACGTGTACGTCTTCAGCCGTTCCTTGTGTAACACAGTGAATTGAGATTTTCCAATATGTCACATAAGGTAGGTCTATTTCGCTTTTCTGGATAAATAATTTTCTGGTCAATGGTTCGTGGGGCTTAACGTCCGCTTCCATCGAGGGTGATATCGGAGAACTAGTTAATTTTTGATAATTTAAGGATCTGTGCAGGGAGTTTGAACTAAATCCTAGCCTGGTTAAGAAATATGTAAGCTTACTATTTATGTTAGTAGCCATGAGCCACATCCAATTCAAAATAATACCACGTCCTACAAACGCGCAAACACGGACATCAGTTTCAGTCTTGCAGTGCCACTACCCATCCACATTTTGTTAATACTACACAAATCTATCGCTCCCCCATGATAAATAATTGCAAAAAGGAACTGCATGAAATCAGCCCAACTTACATTATAGGCAGCTTGTCTCATGAACTGTTTAGCAGGAGCTTTCCATATAGCAGGAACTGTAATAACCCATCTGATATCCTCGTTAATAATTTGGAATCCAGATTGATCCGTCAGCTCCTGTAGGGCATGATCCTTCAAAAACTTAAGTGCGTAGGCGAAAATATTTATTGCTGGGAATAACTTGCCATTACTAGCTGCGACCATTGTGTCTTTTGTTAACTCCTGAAAACAAACACCAAATTGTTTTGCTGGTGCATACAAAACTTCTATGGGATGCTCATTCATTGGTTTGCAGAACAATTTTATTTCCTGTTTGCTTGATTAGTTCTTTGTTTAATTGAAGAACCAAGTATTCAAATATTGTAAAATGTGACAAACCATAAAGCATAGAGTTTAAATAAGGAAAAATGGGTAATATTTCAAAATAGTTTTTAACATTACTTTTATTTTAATTAATTGATCTGGTTATTTGATATAAAAAGTGAAAGTCTTTTAAAGCTTTCAAAAAAAAAAAATATCATTTTAAACGTTTTTAGTGAGATAAAAGCAAAAGTAGCTTAATTGTACGAGTGGGAATGCGAGGAATTTCAATAATGAGATATGTTTATTCCTATCATATATACATATATGACCCACAAGACACTAATTTACATTTAACTTTCCACAGAATAAAACAAACTTTTCATTGTTTACGCTGTGACCCTTAAAGAGTTTGGCTACGAGTACGTGACCTGTGCTTAGATTGATCATTTCTCTGGTCTAGTTTTTAGATAAGGCTTCGTTTATACGACCAATTAGCATGACAATAATCTGATACCCAAATATAATTAACACACACAAGCCATATAAAGATGACCGATAAACATACTTACACAACCATTGTTATTGACATTAATACTTAATTAAATGTCCATTTTGTCATACGAAAATTAAATAAATTTCAAAACATTAATATTCATAACATGAGAACCGAAATCATTTAGGTATAAAAATGGTATTGTTTTTTTTCTAAATTTTATTTCTGCTATTTGTTACTCACCGATTGATGGTGTAAAACCATCTTAAATTTATCGAAGTACAGCCAGGAGGCAGCTTCTTTGGGGTCTAAATCGTTGTACGTATCTCGAGCAGTAAAACCAAAGGAATTGAATTTTCCATTTGGATCCAAAAGGATTATTGTAGGGGTCTTTTGATTGACAACACCCGGATCTCCACCTTCCCATTTTCTCATCATTAGAATATTGTCTGGGTCTCGAACGAAGCTAAACGCATAACCGCTAAATGTTGTACCAAAGTCGATTGCTACAACAACAAAGTGATGTCCATCAGTATAATACTGTTGGTGGGAAGAGTTGATGGTGTCGGTTGTTGGGTGCTTCAATGGAGTTGATATCTCCTCTTTAACTGGGGTGCGTGTTGTTAATGAAGGCGATACACACAGAGGGGAACTTGTAGCATGATTTATTTGATCAATTATTGCGTCCTTTGGTGAATTGTCTAATGCCTGCTGGTTGGGATTCTCTTCTATAATTATGCTATTGTTCTGTGTTGGATTCCTGCTACTATTGCTTGAAGAACTCTTGTGGCTGGATGAGCTGTCGCTGCTCGACGAAGAGGTATTCAATTTATCGTTATTGCCGTCGCCCTTTGGTGATTTGTCCTTAAACTCTGCATTGCATGGGGACGTTACATTTACATTAATTTCTTGTAAATCGGCAGGAACAACTTTAGGTTTCCCAATATTGACACGGCCAGTTGGTATACTGGGTACATCCACGGAATGGCATTCTAATCCTGCTACATTAATATCACCAGTTTTAACATTAGGTATATCCACAGAAGGAAGTGAAGGGGTTTTTATGTTGATGTTTCCCGTATTCAGCTTAGGTACATTTACAGAGGAGGGGTTTATGTCAACATCTCCTTTTAATTTTGGTAAATCCACAGAAGGAGGCGACGGGGTTCCTATTTTGATGTCTCCCGGTACATTCACAGAGGGAGGGTTTATATCAACACCCCCTTTCAACTTGGGTAAATCCACAGAAGGGGGTGACGGGGTATTTATTTTTACGTCTCCGGTATTTCCCAAAGTCAGTGAAGGTGCAGTTACAGTGACACCTCCGTTATTAATCTTCGGTGGAAGCGAAGGGGTCGCTATATTAATGTCAGCAGAAGGACGAGAAGGTGTGCTAGTTTTCTTATGACAATGATTGACATCAGGTACATTAACGGAAGCACCAACACCAGGAGCTTTCTTAACAATAAGTTCGTCGTAAACCTGCTCTGGAGTACATACCTTCGGAGTTGGGATGTCGACTTTACCTTCTTTATTATCCTCGTCAGTTGTCGATTTCTTCTTTTCTTTCTCCATTTTGGGTTTCTTCTCTTTGCGCTTGAACAACTCGCCTAGTTTCGCCCTGATACCCCCTGAACTGTCGGTTCGCTTGGATTTTCTCTTATTTTTTGATGTTTTGATTTTCTTATCATTTTTGCTATCACCTGTTTCAGAATCTGAACTGCTACTGCTACTGCTACTGTTAGAAGTGGTACTATTTTTTGTCTTCTTTGTGCTATTGCTCGGGGACTTATTCTTTGAGGCAGTGATGCTTTTTGAACTTTTATCTTTGGGAGTTTCTGGTGTTTTAGATCTGGCACCATCAACGGAAACTTGTGTTCCGATGTCTTTTTTATTCGGGTGACGAGTTTCAGCTGTCGGTTGACTTGGTGATATTTTGTGCGATATTTCGGGTAATTTAGGTTGACAGTTGGTTATTTCTGGTGATTTTAATACTGGGTTCTTGTTCTTAGTAGATTTCTTATCGGGATCTGATTCGCTTTCAGTGTGAATATTATAAGATGTTATATTTTCGGATGACACAGAATCCGTACTTGATACTGATTTGTCTAATGCAGGAATAATTGCTTTATCGGTATCATCTTTTGTGGGGTTTTCGGGAGCCAATGCTACATTTTTAGTTGGGCTTTCAATGGGATTAAGGTCCAAACGCTGTGGACTGGAGGATATTTCCTGTTTATTTTCATTTGATTTAGGAGATTTAGGAACACCTCCAGATATTTTATAAGGTGTTTTGTGTTCGTCTTCAGATGAACTGGAATAGGAAGACACAGATCTGATTTTATTGCAAGGACCGCGAGGCGTACTATAGACAGGCGGCGAATCACTTGTACTGATAGAAAAATCCAAGAAATCACCAGCTTTAGGTCCTGTTTCATCTGGACTGTCATCCTTGTTTTTTGATACATCTAATCTTAAATCGGAATTTGGCTTTGGTGTTGTTATATTTTTATTCTGTTTGTTTTTTTCTGTATCACTGTTACTGGATGAAGATGTAGTGCTGTGTCTGTCCTTGTTAACTTGCGGCAGCTTTATACTATCAATGTTTAAGGGCAATTCCACTTCGTGATTGTCCGTTTTATTTAATTTAGATTTTCTGGGTGGCGGCGATGGTCCTTGATCTGAAGAACGTCTTTTGTCATCAGATGACGAATTTTTACGTTTTTTCTTTGTACTATCAGCATCTCCATTTATCAACACATTTTCGTCTTTAGGTGTCGAGGAATTCTTTATATTTCGTTTTTTCTCTTCGTCATCAGAGGAACTTGAAGAACTTGAACTATCCGAAGAATGGCTGCCTTTTGGCTTTCGGGTTTTCTTTTTATTTATGTGGCCACCTGATGGTTTGTTGATATCCATTGCACTGATAATCTGAACTTGTCCTGGTTCTAAATTGGCCTCTAATTGTTTCTCATGTCTAGCTGTTATCTCATCGGAGCCATTTTCTAAATAACGATTATCTTGACATTGGGGTGGAAGTGTCGTCTTAGCCTCTACGGCAAATACTTCGTCGTCACCTTCATGTTGGGATGTTTCGTTCGTCTTCCAATCTACGGGTAGTTTCTTTACTGTATGTTCCATGTTAAAATCTGGTGGTAGGTCTTTCCTTAATGGTGGAGGATTGGTGGACGGTAGTGGCGGTGGGGTGGACGATTTGTCACTTGGTATAGAATCATTGATTGTTGGTCTGGTCCTTATTTCAAATTCATAAGGATCACAATCTGGAAAAAAACAAAAAAATAAAACTAATGTTCTAACTCAAGACAATCCACGAATAGAGTATTATAGTCACTGGATTATGTCCACTTGACCAGTTTTAAGAATCATTGATTGTTGGTCTGGTCCTTATTTCAAATTCATAAGGATCACAATCTGGAAAAAACAAAAAAATAAAACTAATGTTCTAACTCAAGACAATCCAAGAATAGAGTATTATAGTCACTGGATTATGTCCACTTGACCATTTTTAAGAAGATATCGCCTACACCAACTGTATGAGAATTTTTAAAGACATGCACAAGAGGTGGAGTTATAGGGGGATTTTTAATAAGAATTAGAGCTAATTGTCACCAAATGACTTTGTTATTACTTCGCTTATGGTGATAATAATCAGCATGTAGAAATCGAAAATATTACTAGATCATGCATGACAGGGTTTTATTCACCAGAAGTCATCATATTATGCATACATGCGATTGATGATACTTAAGAAATAAGGGGGGGGGGGGGGCTCAATCGTTATTTTTAACAACCACGCTCCATAAATGATTCAAATCGACCAAATAATGCATTTAATATGAAAAATAGTTATGCATAGCACCACACCCCACCCCACCCCCGCCTTTGCCACCCCTTCTGAAATCTCACAAAACTGTAACTGTCAGCTGCACAAACCACGCTCCCTGTTTATCATAGCCATTTAAACACAGAAGGAAGTTTTGGGTTAATTTAAAACTGGCATCTCATGTTCTAGTGGATTGTGAGCATGCAACAACAAAACACCGTAATGTATACATATCTCTAACATTTGAAAATTAAATAATATTAAATTAATACGGCCTACCCTACATATAATGCAGCATCTACAGCTTTGGAACCAAACCACACAAACCCTTCATATATTTAACATGCAATCCCATCCGTCATATGAAGTAAATGTTCATCTATGTTATCAGTTTGATTTCAGTTGGCGTCTATTAATTAGGCCAATTTTAATGAAAACAAGGGTATTGTTTATTGTGGCGATCTAATAACATTGGTGTATAGCTGTAGAAAACACATTGCACAAAATTCAAGGGCATCCCAACCTTGTTAGTGTAATGCAAAGGACGTATCAAGAACCAAATTCATTAGGTTAAAATAATGTTTGAAGCATAATCTTAAAATAATCATTTAATTATTAAAGTCCATTTTGTTTGCATCATTTCTATAAATTGAATAGTTCAAAACCCTTTTCTTCAATGTAGCCTCCTACAATTGAGATTTCTTGTATACACACGATCGATCATGACATGCAATAGAATAAAACAAGGAATCTGTTTGTATGTGGTGCGGTTATCCTGCACTTATAAACACAGTTTTAATTTTGCCTTTTAATTCCGCACCGTGCTACGCCCAGGCACACATTAAAAACTAGATATATTTGATCCATGATAATTTCAAGAAACTTTTGTTTTATTGAACTTTTACAAATTTGGTCGACATCAATTTAGAATGTGCATTTTGGGAAACCTAGAAAATTGCATCATGGTTCCCGTATTATTGATGTTTATGATCTGGACATCGTCCAGTAATTGAAATAAAATAATAATTATAATATCGTCATTTACAAAGCGCGTTTAAACTAAAATAGGTAAATTCAACCAAAACGAATTTCCCCTATATTCTATATGACTATTTATAAATTCGTGTAAAAGGCGTTAACATAAAACTAATATTTGGAAAAAGAAAACCCTGGTTATGATTAATATTGGATGTCAACACCTCAGGGAAAATTGCTTTCATTGTTGAACGTCAAAATTAAAACAATAAGAGGAATTTATGTTATACCCAAATTCCAACTGATAAAATAATATGTAAATAATATTCAGTATTTTTCTAAAACACCGCTCACTTGCTTTCATTACATCTACATTTCAAATTATCTCATCATCATGCAGTCACTTACATCTAAGATACTCACTCCCACATGTAATTAAATATATGAACTTTGCTTCATATCGAACCTAGCTTAAGTTCAAGTGATTCTACAAATGACAACTGGCAATTTACGAAAATATAATTAATGACTATTCTTTGAGAAAACTAAATTTAGTTTGCAAAACATCGTATCTAGATTTTGAAGACAACTTCATAGAATTCTGGGAGGAAGCGGTGCTTAATATAAAGTGGAACATGACAGAATAGAATTATGTTCACGTTTATCAAAGATTTATGACGTAATTACCACTCTCAGTAGAGTATTCTCCCATATTAAATTAAATCCATTTCGACTTCTCTAAATTCTATAAGAATGGAATCCACTTTAAATGTCATGTAGAATGGTTTATAATGTAGAATTATAAAAGGTCAAGTTATGTACAATTTAAAGATCAAGCGAATTTGACGCCATTTTCCTGTTCTTTCGTGTAACAAGGGAAGAAATAATTACCATTTTAGCTTTACTTTCGTCCTTCAAGTGGCTGGTTCCCTAATTAGCTCATACAGGAATGCTACCTACTTCCTGAGTTTGGATTCGCACATGCGAATTATTATTGTAAAGTGCACATCCACATGTACTTAGACAGCTTTATGATTAGGTGTGTTTTCTTATATTCATATAATACACACATTATGTGAATATCATCAAAACAGTAGTGAAGGGTATCGTGAAGAAACACTGGGTATAATTTGTGTTATATGCATAGAATACACATATTATGTGAATATTTAATATCAAATAAGTAGTGATAGGTATCGTGAAGAATATAATTTGTGTGATATTCATATACATATTATGTGAATATCATCAAATAAATAGTGATGAGTATCGTGAAGAAACACTGTGTATAATTTCCCTAGAACACTCGATACTACTTCCCTTTGAAATATCGTTGAATAGTTGTTAATTGGAGATTTATAGATTTACATTCTATAAACACCGCGTAAATATGATTAAATCAGAGCGGGTGCTTATATACATATTCATTAAACATAAATACGTATTAACATACATTAATTAAAAGACAGATCACTTTTCAGTGTCACTGAGATATCCAAATTCCTAAAATCTGAAGTATGTGTATTGTCAAAATTGGGATTAATAAATGTGCTTACAAATACTACAGCGTTTATTCCTTGATTTAAGAGACAAAACGAATGATTATTTATGAAGTACGTAGTAGACCGATTTTCTCCTAATATAGACTACCTCTATTTTGGCTTTCTTCCAAGGGGCTATCTGAGGAGCGCTCACTTCGCCTTGTTTCTTCGTATATCTTATAAAAGCCATTAGGTCACATTCCTTTACCCAAAGGTCAATTCCTAAATTAATATTGTTTCTTTCCCTTAGAATGGCGCCTTGAAGTGGGACAATTAATACCTACTTTATCTATGTGTTTATTTACTATATAAGTAAAGTACATACTATAAACTAAAGAGAGAGTTGAGATTTTTATGATGTTAATCGCTGAAATATCCTCTTGACTTTTGTCAATTTTCTATTTACAAGAAAACAAGTTCAACACAATCGCAATATAATACTATGTTTGCTCACACTCGCATAAACACATTTATATTAATGTGAAGTTGCATGTTTTTAAAATATGAAACTGTTTCTTAAAGACATATTTCCTCGGTGCTAAATAAATGAATATGAATTCGAAATACGTCCAAACTACCGCGAAAAATATATAGGTTGTCAAGTAAAGATTTGTCAATTTACAAATTCTAACTCAGTCGCGATCGTAGTACACTTTGTTAGAATATAATTTAATGGATAAGCGATGTCGTTACCGGACAACGTAATGCACGCTTTATGCCCCGCTTACACGTGGGCTACGAATGCCACGAATCGCCCAGCATAGTGGCGAATCGAAAGTAATCGAAATTCCTAGTGATTCGGGAAAAAAAATATCGTAGAGAATCAGGAGTAGCTACGAAGCAGTTACGAATAGTTTATGAAAGATTAACCTTAATTCGTGAGTAATCGGGTGAAAAAATATGCCAAATGTCAAAGTAGGATTACCATAAAGGTACAAATTCAGTTGCGAATGAGTTACGAATATGCCGAATGATGATGATAAAACTACGCGGCATTCGTAGACCATGTGGAAGCCGGCCACGAAAGGTTTTGTTTCAAATTCCATTTACGAAATTCAAGACTCGTCTACAATATATCTACAAATATGAAAAAGTTTGGATTTGGGGCGATTCGTAGCCCACGTGAACGCCGACCACGAAAGGTTTTGTTTCAAAAATCACTTACGAACTTCAAGAACCGTCTACGATTTATCTACGAATCGGAAAAAAGTTTGGATTCGGGACGATTCGTGGCATTCGTAGCCCACGTGAAAGCGGGGCATAAAGATAACAACGATAGACCCAGTGTAATAATACACTTGTTTAATATATCATGGGTTTATTGGACATTTTAGTTTATAATTTAATATATCATTATATTACATAAAATAAGTTTAGAGGGTCGAACAGATAAACTAATTATGCTTGAGGTAATATATCTTTAATGGGACAATGATAATCGGTAAATCCTACGTAAGTTACCACTGTCCGAGCCTTACGTTAATTTCTATTGCTTTTGCGCGGCCATCTGTGTGCATTTGTGATTGTTTGAATATATTTCGAGGTCAAGAATTTATCCAACCTATGTTTCTTCCTGATCCGTTTGTCTAAATTACTATCCAAATAAGACATTTTACATGAAACTGTAAAGAAGAAGCCCCCATGAGCTCAATACTTTTAAACTGGATATATGTCTTCATCATAGGTATATATTAAAATAATATAATTCCAACTTAAACCTGGAAGTCATATTTTGAAAAACATTTTCTTGTGAAATGTAATTAAAATTTCACGAAACTTCTATTTTTGCCAGTTCTATTTTATACCCAGGTTTTAATTAGTAAGCTTTTAGAGACAAAATCTAGCTCGCATGCAATAAAGCGTCCACCCAAACTTCGCCTTCGCATCATTTATTAATGTTCTGTAAAATGTTTGGTTTCTGTAAACCCCGCCTAACAACCTGGCAATAACAATTCACTATGTTACTATTAACGTTTACAATAATACTATTGTTTATAACTGCCTGCAGAATTCTTTATTGGCCATATATATCAGAATCTTAACAGCCCAGACCCAATTTTATATTGACCAAGGCTTGAAAGGTTAAGGAGAATTAGTTCATTAATCTGTCTACTTCGTTGTTTGGTCAAAGATTATCATTGGCGAGATAATAGTTATGGTACCAAGTCCTTTAAGCTAACATTACCAATCTTCAACTAGTCTGTAGTATAACCACTAAAGGTTTAGTATTGTGATAACTGTTAGATTATCGTTACTATCAAACAGGTTACATTGGCTTTAGTTCCTTTAGCATGATAAAAGACAAAGGACCACCTGAATCGAGGACTGTGTTATCTCTCTATATATATAAACAATCCTATTGTTGCTAGTATCTTCTAGACACAAAACATTCAGGTTATATCACGTAAAACCGGCCTGTTTGTTGACCCTATAAGACTTCGTGAACATAAGATAGGAAAAGTTAAAATCGCATTTTCTTTATGCCAGAATGACTTTGAAATACTAAAGCAATATGAATATTTTTTAAAAAAAATAAAAATAAATAAATAAATAAATAAATAAATAAAAATGAATAAGTGCTCATTTCCACGTTACTCCTGAAATCTGAATCAACGATGAACATGTAATTTAAATTAAGGACTTGAGGGGTACAAAATCGTAAAACTAATCTAGCATGTCTCTATATAAGATATCTGTTTATTAAATTTAAGTGATAGGGGTATGTTAATTTCTTGTTATTAAGATGTTGTTGATGAAATTCAATTTTCTAATCGATCTGTCATTTCTGACAGGTAGGGAAAATTCTTCGTTCATTACCATATCTTGGATATGGCATGTCAAGGGCACATCATAAAATGATAAATGAACAAACTGCATGTGATTTTTAGATTCTCGATAACCTTTTAAATTGGTCTATACCCTACTATCATAATTATAAATGGACATCAACTACACCATAAAAAAACTGTCTTATCAATCTGCGTTAAGCTAGTTCATGAATAATGAGTTGTCATTACAGTAATACCCTGAAATCTCCTTTTTTAATATTTGCATGCCATGTCTGACCGACTTGTAGAAACGTATAAGAAAGTTAATACAACGTACATGTAGATATAAAAGAAATGTACAAGATCTGATGTCCAGGTACACCAATCACCACTTTTACTCTAGTTTTGTTTTACACACTACAGCATTCCTTAAATATCATCTTACAATATTACCCCTAGACACTACTACAACAGGATTTACGATTAAGATTTCTCTTAAGATGGACAGACAATCCATGTCACTATGTCTGTATATAATATCACCTTCTTCTGGTCATACAATTTGTCAAGCTTCAATTGTAAATAAATAACAGATTAAAACATGATTAATTTGTGAATACTTTAAACGATCAGCTAGATGGCCTTTCAATGAGTTTCCAAACTCATATACCCAATTTCAAGTTAGTAATTATTTTTAAAAACTGAAAATGTTACTTACAGTTTTCATCTGGCTTTTCAACTGGCGTACTTGATCGTTCTGATGATAAACACCATTCCATATCACCTTTAGGGCTTGAAACAGTCAAGTTACCTCCACAGGAGGGTTCCTGTAATGACCTTGACGAAACTGGCACAGTTGGAATTTCTATATAATTATCCTCATCTATGTAATTGTTATTATTCATCGAAATATTTTCCCCACTTTCCATTCCGTTAGCTTTTTCTTGTATTCCAGATGTATCAACCTCTGACGTAAGGCTAGGTGGTTTGAACGTGATCATCGCTGGTGCCCTGTTTGCAGGAATGATCTCGTCCTCGATTTCCCATTGGCCACCAGTAACTAGATCTGGATTAGTAAGGTCTTCTTGTGAATCTACTAGAACGACTGGGCCGTAGTAAGCTATCTGATTCTCGAGTGTCGACTCGGTTGAGTCGTTCATTTCAGGTTTGACTTTTTCCAGATGTACTTGTTCTACTTTGGTTGACTTCATCTTACGTCGTATCTGAGCCTTTTCTTCTATCACTCTTTCTGGAATTGTGTTATTAACTTCATGATAGTAATTACTAACCGGGACGAAAGACTTGTCAACAATCAAACTGCGATTTCTTTTGGGTTTCTTCAAACCGGACGAACTTGAACTAGACGAAGATGAAGATGAGGATGATCTTTTCTCGTCTGCTCGTTTCAGATTACTATTGTCATTGTTGGTGGCATTTCCGTTGACTTTTTTGGTTCTCTCTGTGAAAAATCGCAACGCTGGTGTCGATTTTGCTGTCGTTGCAGCTCTCTGTGGAACAATGGGTTTAGTTTTTCCAGAACGTTGTGGAACGACAGGCTGTAGTGTTGCAGAACGCTTAGGAATGGCGGGTTTTGTCTCTTGTTTTCTTCTCGGTATAACTGGTTTCTGTGTTGTCGTCCGTGCACTGGAACTCGATTTTATAGTCGATTTTACCTCCTGTTTTTCAACAGAGTTATCGTCTGTAGGTTCTTTTTCGGGAGCTATTTTCACCTCATGGTTTAGAAATAGACGCTCAGCTTCTTTCGCTTTGAAAAAATCTTCCATGATTTCGGCATCAGTTAGTTTTCTATAAATTCCTGGGGTCCCATCCAAGCTGTCGCTATGGCGTTTCGCATCGAACTTACGTGGCAACGACATCTTGATAATTGTGTACTGTATCAGTTTACTTCCCAACAAAACATATGAAAGAAACGAAAAGGGTTCGAAACTCTTTCACAGTAATTCTCTTCACACAAGGTACGAAAGTTGAGCCATGCCTACATACATGGAGCTTTGTTTGTGACGAATAATAACTGGGCACGTGTTAACCTAACTAATGAATAGTTGATCGCTTGTGACAATGTTTACCAAAACAATGTCATTGCTCATTCAAGCACCCATACATTACACTTTTAAACTGTGATTAAATAGTAATATTTGTACATTTAAAAATCCAGTTCTCCGTAAATACCTCTTTTCACAGCTGGGTGTTTAAACAAACTATTTCCCTTTTAGATTAACATATTCAAATTCCAGTTTCCAAATTTAAACAATATTACATATTTTGACATGTAATACATTACCTAAACTATCCAAAGTATATTCAGAAAAGAGTGTGTTTAAGATTGAAATAAAATACAGTGCAGTCCAGTAAGTTACAAAAGGATTCTTCAGAAGTCCTCGCCGCACAACCACATGTGAACTAGTTCCACACACTATTGCATTGTCTCCCGTTTATGTACAGTTTTAAAATAATCCAAACAATATAGAGCTTTATAAAAAAAAAGTCACATCACATAACGCCAATTACAAGGTCGGATGTATTTGTGTTAATAGCATTGGTGATAATATACAACTTTGGCTTATACCCTGCGCATTAAACCTTCCGAAAACACAGAGGAAATTAACTCTTATAGGGCGGTGTTCTTCTTATTCAATGTTACCAACTTGTTTAATTAACTCTCTTAATCTGAAGTCGTAGACTCACGAACCAATCGGCTTGTTTCGAGAGGTATGGTTGACGCCGCCCGGACGTGTAACTTGATAGGGGACCATACTTCACGCACACCTTAAAAACCAGGCATTTATGTCAATATAGTCTAATATCTACATCAGACATAGAATATATCTCCAAGTCACATATATTTCTTCGGGCACCCTATTTCTTCCAAACCCGTCAACTTAATCACTTTTTGTTCTCACAGTGACAAAAGATATGAAATATGATTAGATTATAAGGATATTCTGATGGGCACAGGTCACCATCAAGCCCTTGTGTTTATTTGGATCATAAATCAAAGAAGAATTACTATACAAATTCCACGTGTGAGAACGAAATCGGGTCAGATTGCTAAGGTGAAATATTTATTGTATCTCGATAATAAATAAACATATAGATGGATAAGTTGCTTAGAGTATTGATAAATTATTAATTATAACAAAAACATTTACATTTATACGATAAACCTTGATAGATAACAAAGGTTTCTTATCATTAATCCGTGCACGAAACATATTTGGTTAAAAGTATCCGATTGGCGTATGTGCTATACATATTTAAAGAATAAATTCCTCTGTTCTTTAAGCTAAAAGTCAAATAAATGGATTGTATTACGTATCAGTTTAGAATACATATGTTGTGAGATGCATTTCGGTTTACCACGTGGTGGTAAGACATGAAGCACGATTAACAGCTGTACAGATTCTGTCATTATTACAGGTTTCTGTGGTTTGTAAAATGGAACATATTGGCCACAGATGCACACAACCTAAAAAATTACAGTTATGAAATAAAACACCCACCTCAAGTCTTTACGGTAAAGATTTAAAATAGTGTACGCACTCTGATGTAATATATCCGTACAAAAATACATTACGGAATGAATTTATATTATCATCATATTTCTTTACATATTGCCAGTCGCTATTCCTACTCTCCGAGAAAAATGTTCGATTTTATTTCGTTCGTGCCAATCTGATGAGGTGTAATGCGTTCGGGTATGTCGAGGTTGGTATCTTTAATGTGCAAATAGATAGTGCACATAAATATAATTTTTGCATCAGATATTCTCATATAGGTCGCATCACCACGTTAAGTATGTACCGTATTCTGCCCATTGAGAAACTTTGCACACGCGAATTGTTATTAAATAAAAAGTAGTACAGACAAGACATCTTTAAACCTTCCTATTATTTTCTATGATTATATAGTCCCGAAATGAACTAGTTTGTGTCAAGTGGACGTTAAACCACCTCTCTCTCTCTCTCTCTCTCTCTCTCTCTCTCTCTCATTATACGTAAACTGTAAGTGACGCGTTGTCCAGGTAGTTTTGCCGTCTCTTTTTTTTTTTAAATTCCAACCATGAGCAATCCTAGGACTTATGATGGTTTAAACAGTTAAGGGTGTACATACAATATTTCATATAATTCCGAATTTACTGAATTCTGTTTTTTTTTACTATGAAATGAACAGCTAAGATAACTTTTTAACGGTCGTAAAAGATTAAAAATGGATGAGTGTCTACCTAATTTTCATTTTCAAACATTGGATTTTATGGATAACGCGTGAAAATTTATGAGTTAACAATGTGTATTATTTGCTGTCTTAGTAACAGGCAATATTATATTTAATGAATTGTGTCAATTGATTTTAAATACATGTACATAATTCGCATTGTCTACATCGCAACAATAGCGTTTTTATACTATAATATTATAGGTCTAACTACATACCACGACTACATGACATGAGAAAAGGGTATAATAAATGAGCGTGTTTTACGATACATAGTCAGGTGTAAAGTCCTGTACACCCTGTCGGCTTGGGAAAAAAATGTTGATTATGTTTAAGTCGAAAGGCTGTGACCGAAATATAAAAAAATGTTACAATATTAAACAAGATTATGAATGAATAATGACCTTGATATTATAGTAACGACGCTTTTCACTTTTATAAAGAAATACACAGTAAATTCCCTGGGATATGCATATTTCAATATCACCGTTCAGTAAGGAGTATTATTAAAGTATCCCATCAAGTTTATGCGACATTTTCACCTAATTCTACAAATACTTTGTGTAAGTCCTAATTAATGTAACACGCATTTGTTTACTTATCTTTATTTAGTTAATACCCATATACATGTATATAAGATTTAATTTTAAAGATCCAATAAACCATTTAAATTGGCTTGGAGCTTTGAAGTAAAAATATATCGTCCATACACCTTATGCAGCGGTTTTTTATTTCACAGCTATTTTAGGACGTCTTGGCATACAAATGGGGACTTTAATGTAAAAGTATACAAATTACCCACAAGGGGCACGTGTAATGGTTGGATATACACAATAACAAGACCTCGAAACGTGCAGATGGTTCATGGTGGCCAGAATGCCGCTGGTCAGAACCTGATATAAATACTGTACACATTAATAGGATCGTGATCGTTAACAAATCTACAGTAATTAGATGAACTGGGGTAATAAGATAGGAGAAAGTTATCCACCCTGGTTGACAGATCGTGAAATTCTTGTCTTCAGATTACCTTCTATTATCTTGTAAACCAGAACAATGCGAGAAATTTGTTAGTCTTATATATAAATATATTAACCTATTTACATGTCTTCATGTCATATCTACATCTATTCATTCCTGTCAACAATATATCTCACAAAATATGCATGCTTTTAATAATACGTGTATTCTTTGTTTCGCAATTCATTCGATCTATTATCCATTCAATTATTTCTGGAATCTGTGGATTAATACAACAATGCTTCGAGCTAATGGGGTGTCATTGAGTCAGGCGGCGGGGTTTCGAATCCCCGCTTGTACGTGGCAAGGAGAAGGGTCGCCTGTGCAACCTCGTGGGTTTTCTCCGATTTCCTCCCACCGCTAAAGACCCCTACGCACTACCGAATTACTGAAATAAAATTCGACCATATTTTAGTCCCGAAATGATCTGGTTTGTGTCGAGTGGACGTTCAACTCTCTCTGTGAACTAATGAAGGTTTATGTTACATATACCATCTGAAAACTAATTTTGCTTTTAATATATTCTTATATTAATTAGATAAGGAAGATAATTATATGTTTGCATTGTATTTCAACTTTCACACCCATTCCGCATTTTTTTTTACCGGAATGTGATGATACGAGTTGTCTTGCATTTCAGAACAAGGTGCATGTTTTGGGATTGGCCTCTAAATGAGACTCGACGGTGCAAGTAGCCCAATGATAGGCAACAATCCTAAAGAAAGATGAAGTTTGGGTATTTTATCTTTGGGGAATGACATAATAAGAAACCCCATTTATATCAAGACGCAGGATGGGCTTTTGCTCTTCTATGGTCTCTTTAACATTATTTTCAAATTAAAAAGACATGTTTTCAGACAGCGATTCATACATACATTGTCTTGGTCGTCGATAAAGGCTATCAGGTAAATGTCAACAAGTGCAATAACCCAGATGTTATTATCAGATGTTATTGAAATTCAAAAGGCTTCTTAATTTTACTAATTCAAAAATCCATATTAATTTGAAATAGATCATATTATGATAAATTGATGAGTGCCCACAAAATTCTACAAGTGAACAAGGGCCATAAACCGAGAAGTATCAGAAATTGTAGAAAATCGATGATCAATTTTGTGGCAAGATCGTTCAGATGATTCTTAAATGTGAACAAGGACAATGACCTTTGTTCCCGTAGCTTCTATATGATCCAACGAAATGAGCAAGGTCAGTGCATCGAGATCAGTTAATATCATTGAATTTCAAGCTGTTTGGCTACATTGATAATCAATAGCCGTTTTATTTTTTATATGAATTTAAAAAAGGTCAAGCAATAAATGTAGTTTCTAGAGATCAAAATAAATCGTGGACAACAAAAAGACAGATAAGGAATATGGCAATATGCGATTACATTACAATGTGGGCGTATAATATTGGTCATATGTCTACATATGCGCGAGCAACCTGAAGGGGTTTTCTGCATGTCCAGTTTGGTTCTAACTATCACATTGACAAGAGGTCAATTCTAAAGATGTTCCTTGGGGCCAAATATTTATGATCCCCCAGTCATTTGACTCTTTAAATCCGTTTTAATTTCAAAGTCTGTATTAAATTTGAATAGGATGGAATGTCTGATATCTATAATTTTTTATCATGTTAATTATAAAACAAACACATCATGGCTTAATATAAACTTATATTTTCATAACAAAAATATAGTGCTGGCAAGATAACAAATAGAAAGGTCGATGTTATTGAAATAATTGACACAGCTGAATAAATTGTAATGTATGTTTTTATAAATACATTTAACAAATAAAAACTCTTATAAACTCCCAGTATATATAAATAAGCATATAAATGATATTTTTGTATAAAAGTTTTTGATTTGTGATAAAATATCAGGGTTTCTCATTTTTTTTCAAAAATACTTTACTGAGAAGGTATTTAATAAAATTACATGATAATATAACATTATAGTTATAACATAATGCATACTGAATTAAGTCAATTGTGAGTGGTGAGACAATTTTGAAATAAAATTGGGTGTTTCTCCTTCACATTCAAACTTTAAACAAAATATTTCAGGGGAGTAGAATCATGCAGTTTCTCAGCACTTGGAATGCCTTAATTACCTGAACTAATACAAATTTATTTCTCAAACATGACATATCTTCTGATTATATATAAAGAGATTCATATTTTGATTTGAGATAGCACTAATGCCTACATTATCTTAAGGAATGTACTGGTAATCATGTGATTTTTTTTTAACATACTTCTTTGGTGTGATAGTCCAGCTTAGCATTTAAAGTACATGTAATTAACCAAGCCAAAACTTTGGCTTACACACTATAGAATGGGATAGTGTTAACAATTGAATAAGGTGGAATTGAAAATATAAATGTAGGCTTCAGAATAGATGCAATATTATCTATAACTACCTAGAATAGACATAATATTATTTATAACATCTAGAATAGACATATTACCTATGTATATCTAGAATAAACAGTATCTATAACTATCTAGAATAGAAATATTATCTATAACTATCTAGAATAAACATTATATCATTTATAACTATCTAGAATAGAAATATTGTCTATATCTGTCTAGAATAGATATTATACTATCTATAACTATGAAATTACAATATTGTTGTTTCACTATTATGTCTTTGCAAAATGATATTATCCATAGTATAATATATCAGTTATATTCCCTGAAAGCATAACATATAATTGCATACATAATAATAATCAATAGATCAAGTAATAACAATATGCATCAATCTATCCCAGTGTTCACAAAGACACTGGTGTTTAGTAAGAAAATAGTAATTATTATGGGTGATTATTAAATATTTCAAAAGTTTATGTGATACAGTAAAGTGATATGTGATTGATAAGTGTTAATATGTTAATGTTTTTTTTGTGTTGATTACCCAATAGGATCTATTCTATAGACATCATTTGTATTTAATATCTAACATTCATATCAAACAAAATCATAAATTTTGATTAATTCTGTTAATAACTATCTAAAATCAAGTATCACAGCTTGAAATCTCTAAGGTAATATATTTCTTTTCGTTTGGTTTGTTACAATGTAATTTAACTTTCATAAAATCAAAGTATAGTTTTTCCATTGTAAGGTTATCACCACTGTTTTTTCATCACTTGTTTCTCCATATATCTACAAAGACGTTTTTCTATTGTGACATAACTAGAAATGGTTTTGTCACCGAGGTATTATCATATTTTTGGCTGTTTATTGTCACATGACCAAGGATTTTGTAGTTTGAATTTTGACTGTAAAGTTGTGAGCTGACTAGCACTAGTTGGCTTAATTGAATAATACTTTTTTTGTATTTTTGGTTTTGTTTAGTATTTTGACTAGTGATATTCCAATAATTCAATGACAATATGATGACATGCAGTGGTCTCATTTGGAGTGGGAGAACGTGCAGACAGGTGTCACTCTAGAAACAGTACAAGGGGTTTGAGAAAAGGCTATCTAATCACCAGTCATTGAAAATGGGTGTATTTTCATTATTATTATGAATTACAGTCTACCCATTGTTCTGTGATCTGTCAAGTTTTACCAGTATTCAATTGCGAGCAATGAAATTTTGTTTTATTTTTAATATCATAAATTTACTCCAATGATTGATGTCCATACACATGCTTATATATTCAAATATTTGTTTGTCCAGTTAACTGCATGACCACATGAATATCTGGCCGCTAGATGTCATTCAATGACACAACAGTTTCCTGATTAACATCATGTGACCACATAACCCTTAGATACACAGCGTCCACCTTCTCCTTCCAACAAACATGGCCACAGGTAGTTTTTTATTATTTCTGACCCCGGATCTGATGTGTGAAATCTCACATGGTTGTCACGCTTATATTCAAAATCACTATACGATATCACAAAGGGTGGGTTTTGAATCAATAGTCCCAGTGCAATTTGCACACATTCGTCAACAAACTGTACCAGACCTTCACATTCTCGTAGACAGGGATAATCAAATAAAGTTTCATAAATCTGTTCACAAACATTCTGAAATCAAAATTAAGCAAAAAAATGATAAATTGCCAGGCAATGAAACATATGTCCACAGCAGATAAGTCGTCCGACAGTCCATAAAAGTTGTTACATTGTAACGAGATTAATTAAATGACACTATGTGATATAATGAACCAATTGGTCACAGCAGCAATGCCATCTGAGCACTCCATAAAGGACGGTAACTCTGTTCTTACAAAATCAACAGCCTTCCTCTTCATTTCATGAATATAAACATTACATACATATATATTTATGTCAATTTCAGCAGCTAGAGCATACATACTATTTTTCTAAGTGATCAAGAACAAAATTTCTGATACTTTCCAACCTTTATAGATAATGTAAAATCTATTCTATCCAATACTGAATTTTTCATCTACATATAATGTAAAACTCATTTTCTGAAAAATATGTTGGCTTTCCATATTAAACAGATGATGTAACTACCAATGTATCAAATGTTTGTTTTGTGCATATTTATCTTTATGCTTACATTAGCAGGTGATGTAACAACTAGCATCAAATGTTTTATATAGATATTTATCTCTTACCTTAACAGATGATGTAACATCTATTCTATCAAATGTTTGTTGTAGATATCTGTCAATATGTTGCTGTATATCAAGACTAAGTGTATCATGAGCTGCAATATCTGGTGGTATATTCAAAGTTTTGTATACTTGAGATCTGGTTGAATCTATCATCTCTTGAGCTGAACGGAATGCTAACTGAAATCATGTGTAATATACATGTATATATAATAAATACTTTTGGTCCCTGGAACCCTGATGATTATGAAACTGTGGGACAAATATTTCTGGTTCTGTATGTTTGTTATATGTAACCTACAATTCTTCCTTCTCTCTGTTTAACTGCTTCAATTGTCAAGAAATGGACAAACCTAGATTTGATACAATCTATCTATTGGAAATACCAGTGGTTGCCAGGTAAGATAGGCCCACAGTTTGCAAGAGATGGATAGAGAGCAAGCTAAAAACAAAAGCGATTTTCCGTACAATCAGGGGCCATGGCCATAATCAAGAAAGATATGGTCTGGAATGCGCAAATATTGAAAGGGACTGAGATCTTTGGGACATAAACATATATTTTAAGTTTCATCAAAATCGGATAAAAATTGTGACCTCTAGAGGGTCCACAACCTTCGTATTACGTATTTTCACACAATTTTCCTACAAAGAGCGGCCATTTTGTCGCTCAGTTTCGTTTCGATTTTCCCAAAATTCAAATTCAATCTTTATATCGTGAATTGGTGATATATTTAAACGGTTTTTAAAATCGGATAAAAAAATTGTGACCTCTAGAGAATTCATACAAACAGGGGCCATCATCTAGGAGGTGACGGTCTGATATGCGCAAATAGCAAAAGGAACCGAGATCTTTGGGACATAAATATGAATTCAAAGTTTCATTAAAATCAGATACAAATTGTGGCCTCTAGAGGGTTCACAACCTTGATATACCATATTTTTACACTATTTGGGTATGATAGGCGGTCATTTTGTCTGGCAGTTTTGGTCCGATTTTCACATAATTTGAACTTTATCGGCATTACGGTGTAACAGTGATATATTCACACCATTTTACAAATCGGATAGTAATTCTGACCTCTAGAGGGACAACAAGCTAAAATCGCGATTTTTCGTACAATCATGGGCCATAATTCAGGACATTTTTATCCGATATGCTCGAATATCGAAAGGAACCAAGATCTTTGGATTATAAAGACGTATTTCAAGTTTCATCAAAATCTGATCAAAATTATGACCTCTAGAGGGTCCACAACCTTGATATATCATATGTTTACACTTTTGCGAACGAGGGGCGGCCATTTTGTCCAGCAGTTTTTCGTCTAATTTTCTCGAAATTGGAACTCAACCGTCATTACGGTGTACGGTGATGTATGTAAATGTTTTTTTAAATCCGAAAATAATTGTGAACTCTAGTGGGACCACAAGCTATAAACTCAATTTTCCGTACAAACAGGGGCCACAATTCAGGAAGTTACGATCCAATATGCGTGAATACTGACCGGAACCAAGATCTTTGGGCTATAAACAAGCATTTAAAGTTTCATCAAAATCTGATCAAAATTGTGACCTCAAGAGTGTCCACAAGCTAAAAACATGATTTTTCGAACAATCAGGAGCCATAATCCATGAAGTTATGGCCCAATACATGCCAATATCAACAGGAACCGAGACCTTTGGGAGATAGACCTATATTTCAAGTTTCGTCAAATCGGATAAAAATTGTGACCTGTAGAGTGTCCACGAACAAATTTGGGACAGGGGCGATGGGATAATACCGTAATACCTCCACATGAAAATGTGGGCGCATAAAAACCAGTTTATAAAACAGTCATCAAAGCCTGTTCAAAGGGCCTGGGTCTAGATAGCATTGTTTATACTCTCAAATTTTATAACCAAGACAATATCCTATGTGGACTTGATCTCCAATTAATGATTAAGTTTATCAATACATTACAGTAATTCAGAACTCGAGTATATTTAAATCCGCCTGTTTGGCAGCCATTCCATTTCCATGAAATGTGTAGATAATCTGTGACTGGAAGTAAATCTGTTTCTATGCCCAATTTCCCCCAATAATCAAGATCAGGAGATAACAGCAATAACTTACAACTATAATAGAGAAAAGAATCTTTGTTTTAAGAATGCTGAGTTCTTCTAAATCTTTTAAATCATCAAGGGCATCTAAAGCATCTAATCTTCCATCTGTATAAAGATTACCATACTGACGGATTAATTCTGTTGGGCGCTTTGTACCAAGATTCAGATTTTCAAAATGTTGATTACTTCTGTTAAACTGTTTCTGGACTTGATCTGATAATCTGAAATAATTAATACTTCTATTCAACATCAATAATGTTAACTCAATAAGAAATTTAAGTCATCTGCAAAATGTAATGTCATGTTCTGTCCCATCTAAATGACAAGAAACTATCCTTGCCAAGCCCTCTGTTCTGCATCACTGACATGAGGAAGCCATGCTGAAAATCTGTTTTGATCAGAGTTTAGTTTGAATATATCACTCTTTTATATTGAATATATCACTCTTTTATATTTAGTAACTTACCATTTATTTTTTTTATTTTGCATATTAATTTGACTAGTGGCACATTTATTTATTGCTCAAACTGATTTTTTGTTTTGTTGTGTAGCATGGAAAACATTTTTAAATGAAATAAAATTTGAATCCTACCTGTCTCTTAATTGTTTTTCTCTTTCTTGTAATCTTTTAATCTCCTCTCTGGCCTGGTTTAACTCTTTTGTTAAATATTCTACTTCTCTTTTTAAAGTATGAACAGAACTTGATTCAGATGAATCAGCTGGACTGTCAACCATCTTAACGTACGAGGAGGTCATGCTGTCGGGTTGCGTGGAAAGGACCTTACTTCTTGGTTTTGGGATCGGTGGACCTATACTGGATGTGCTGCTATTACGACCTTTAACATCAGTTTCTGGTATGTAGTAAAGTGGAGAACTGTCTCTGCTGTGCTTACGCAAGGGAATACTCAAAAGGCCACCTGAAAAAAAACAAAACAAATATTGTTCTTTTAATGGTATGCACAGTTTTATCTCACACCTACTTTGGATTAAATAAAATATAAATGACTAACATAATAAAGCAAATAATGTTTAGTACAGACTATGTATTTAAATGTGTCATTACATGTATAGTATGTAATTTATGAACATAAATATAGCCACACCAAAGGTCAAAAACACTTGACTATTTAATTAGTTTATTAAAACAGGAAACTGGGTCTAGTGATTAAAATTGATATTTAATGTTTTAAATAAATATAGAGATTATACAATAAATCAAAATACACAAACCCAGAATATTTAACAATAAATATTTACTGCCATTTTATTACTCTTTCAATCAGAAAGTTCATTTTTAATAATGTGTAATTTTTGTATTTTTGAAAAGACTGCATTGCAGAATTTAAAAAATTTCTTGATAGTTTACTGAAAAGAACAAAACAATGCCCCGATTCTTTATTTTTGCTAATTTCAATTTATACTCAATTCAATTAATCAGTTAAGTATATAATATATACATTATTCTGCACAAAAGCAGCTGATACTCTATGACTGGCTTGACATCCCCATGGGAAAAATGTTTGTTCATTAAGAATCTTAATATAAAAGTGCAATCTGTTTAACAGAGGTAATGCAAAAGCCTTCTTTTAACTCTGTACAAGATGACTGACCTTTAATGTCATATGCATTGTAGGTCTACATGTGACATCACATCATATGGCACAAAGGTGTCTGCATTGTATGTGCATTGTTTAAAAAATTGTTTTAGAACATAATTTGCAGAAGAAAAAAGTTAATATTGAGAACTAATTAACCCACTCCAATGTCATCCCTTTCAGTGATTGTAGCAGCCAAGTGAATATTCACTGCTGATCAGTTTGATAAAGATAGGTTGCCAGGCAATGAAACATACGCCCACAGCAGCTAAATCGTCCGGGCAGCCAACAAGAATTGTCGCATATTTTAAGTTATGTCCCTTGATCACTTTGAAAAATCTTGTGGACGCTCTAGAGGCTAACGTTAATATCTGATTGACTTTAAATTTATAAACAGTCTCTATGGTCTTGAACCAAAGAAGGCTATGTATTTTCACTGATTTCTGATAATTACTGCCAGAGTTATGGCCCTTGATCACTCTGAAAAATCTTGTGGACGCGCTAGAGGATAGAGTTAATATCCGTTTGACTTTAAATTTATAGACAGGGTTTAAAGACATCAGACAAAGTAGCCTATTGATTTTCAATGATTTCTGATAATTACTGCCAGAGTTATCGCCTTTGATCACTTTGAAATATCTTGTGGATGTTCTATAAAGGTTAAAGTTAAAAATCTGGTTGACTTTGAATTGATACATGGTGTTTAAGGTCATGAGACGAAGAAGGCTATTGATTTTCAACAAATTCCGATAATTATTGTCAGAGTTATGGTCCTTGATCACTTTTAAAAATGTTGTGGATGCTTTTATACACCGTGTTTACACCTATATGTAATCGTTTCGATTAAAGGGTGTATGGCTCTATTTTTTGGAACCTTGAAATAGACAAAGATAGGTTGCCAGGCAACGAAACATATGCCCACAGCAGCTAAATCGTACAGGCAGTCAACAAGAGTTGTCGCATATTTGTACTTTTGTCGGTAATGAAACATTTATAGTACACTAAAATCTGATTAAAGTAGCTAAGTCTCTAACTCAATATCATCCAAAATCCTCAACATTGAAAACACGATTAATTTATCAAATTAAATCAACATTCTTGTTGTGATCTTACCGGAAAAAGACAGGCTTTTGATATCCAATATTTAAGACAAAATAAACATTTTACCATTGGTACACGAATCGTGTACCATAATGCGCTTCAGCCCCAGTTGTATCAAGAGACTCGAGGGACGAGGCTAGACACATTGCACCAAATCAAACGGCTTATGTAGACTGGAATAACCAGACGCTAGAAATTTGCACTCGCTTGAGACTGCTGGCTTATTTCGCCGAACAAAACTGATTTGAAATTGGAGTAAAAATGGAAACCATTGAATGTAAATCAGTTTATATACATTCATATTACAGTATTATATGCGTTGCGACCCACTTTTGTCAATTTCTAGGTTCCAAATGTTAGCGATTTAGCTCCTTTAAGTGTAACAACTCATGGCCTTAAACACTGTGTATAAATTTAAAGTCATCTGAATATTAACTTTAGCCTCTAGAGCATCCACAAGCAATTGTGGACGCCAGACTGATTATAAAATGTTAATTCTGTCTTAAATATTGAATATTAGGATCCTATAGTTTCATGGCAAGATAACAACATCAATATTGATTGAAATTGATCAATATTGAATTCTAATTCGTGTTTTTAATTTCGACTATTATGGAAAATATTGAGTTAAGAGACTTAGCTCCTTTAAATGGTGATCGTATTTTAATCTGTTTACCCTTGTGCCATCCGATGGTCTAGAGAGTTGATAATAGGTTTGTTGTGTAAATAAATCTCTAAATAATAATTTATATAACATTTGAAGCCAAAATAAAAACCTGTAATAGGTAAATTTAGATCTTACATAATGCATCTTTAACACAGTGAATATTGTCAATTTTGATACTAATTCTGGAGAAAAGTTAGAAATTGAGTCTTGTAATCTCAACACAATACATCTACAACTCTGGACATCAAACATATACTATTACAGTATTCCATTACAAAGAATATATCAAGTTGTATTTATAGGTCATGTCCACATCTGTAACCTTGCAAGTTAATTAAATGCCATCTGGATATATTTTATGATCAAACTCTTCAAAGATAATTGTTTGTAACTTGGTAGTTAGTACCATATTATAATTATTTATATTTATGGGTCATGTCCACACCTGTAACATAGCAAGTTAATTAAATACCATCATGATATATTTTATGAAAAGCTCTTTAAAGCTAATAGTGCGCCATATTGTTAGAAAATCCATCAAAGAGAAAAATAATTTAGTCCACACCTGTAACATAGCAAGTAAATTAAATGCCATCCCGATATATTTTATAAAAAATATTAAAACTCTTTAAAGATAATTGTGCGACATATTGTTAGAAAATTCATCAAAGAGAAAAATAATTTAGCCACGAAAAATATTATTGTTTATTTCTATGGAATTCAAGCCATAACTTTGCACAGTGTGTTTATATAAGTGAGCTGACAAGCTAAAACATTCCTCTAGCTATCATTATGATAAACTAACCTATTTCTCTGGTTGTGAAACCAAACACTTGAAATCTGACAGGAATGTTGTAAAAGTCAATGTAAGTGATAAATAAATTATTTACATAGCACCGTTTGTCTTTATAGATTCAAAATTATATAAAATGTAAATTATCATGTTAAACCCACCTGCTAGCAGTGGTGAACTTATTCTACAAGTCTTCCCTCTTTCACTTCTCCCTGAGTGGCTTCCCCCTGATAAAAATATCAAATGACAAGTTACCATGGCAATTAAAAGATGGTGTCAAGGGTTATAACAATGTTGTTTAATTGTTATGTCTAACAGATAAGCTGACACATTCTGACTCCATTTACATACATAATGAAAGGTCAAAGTTCACCTGTTGTCATTGTTTCTATTAAATGTACATAAATACATGTATATTTGCCCATTAAGGGGGGGTTTAGGTCTCCCTTGTGATTTGATGCGATTGGGTTTGATGCAACTGAATGCAACAGAAAGTTGCATGAAAAAAGTGATATAAGCAGTCTTGAGATCTGATGCGATTGCAAAAAAGCCATTTGCAGATAGTTGCACATTCTTCTTTCCTGCAGTTTTGTTTGGAAGCCGTCAAGATGCCTTAGCATTCAGTGTATATTGTAGTTTTTCTCACCTCATTTGTGTAGCCTACATAAAAATGACCGACATGTTACCAAAGAGCATTGGACAACAAAAGTGTATTTCTGTTCAATGAAAAGATAATAAGATGCAATAGCAGAATCAGAGAGAGAGAGAGAGGGTTCAATGTCCACCCGACACAAACTAGGTCATTTTGGGATTAACACATGGTTCAATTTTATTTCAATAATTCCCTTGCATGTACGTGGTTTTACTAGTGGGAGGAAAACAGAGGACCCGGAGAAAATCAACGAGGTTGGACAGGCGACCCTATTGCTTGTCTTGTACAAGTGGGGAGTCAAAACCACGCCAACTATCTCAATTACAAACCATTCGGCAACCCAACCGTCCTTCTAACCATATATAGATGATATAGCGTCACCATTTTGTACTGACCACATCCCCAGCCATTATGTGGTCCCTTTGACCATAGTTTGGTGGTGGCCTTCTAAGATTCCAGTTGCAAGTAGTTTCATATACTTGCAGCTAAACATGCGCGGTCGGCATTTCCAGTTGCGTACAATTGCATCCTATCGAAAGAGCGACATAAGCAGTGTTTTACCGGACTAAATTCATGTATTCTGTATCTTTTCTTTTAAATAAAAAAAGGCGTCACAATTGGCACAGGCTTATTAACTGGAGGAAGTCCTGGACGAATCGATTCCATTGCACGGATGGGGGAGCTTGATAATTTATGTCAAGTCGAAATTTCATATTTCACTTTTGTACAATCTGTAATGCTCCCTTGATCAAAATCTTAAAAACTATGTACCACGTATGTATAAATGAAAATATATAGGGCAAGATATAACTATTTAACACATTGATTTGACGAAGACCAACGGTTGTGATTGGACCAATCCTTATGATTTATCCTGTATTACCTCTTAAAAGAATTCTAAGACGAGAAACTACACCAAAATATACTCATTAACCTGCCAATTAATTCATTCACACTTCACTGATCATAATATTTCTATTAAACCGGCAGTTAATCATATCACCACTATCTTCATTTATCTTATCAAAATATACTCAATAACCTACCAATTATATGATTTTACACTTATTGATCACAATATTCTCAGTTAACCATATTACTATCTTATCTATAACTGACTAATAAATTGCAATCACACATATTGCAATAATGGTAAAATGCTTGAGGACTAAAGGGGGGATAACTCTAAACATAAATATTTTATGCAACGAATGAATGCAAAACACAATGTATTGTCAAATGCAAGTTGACTTGATATATTGCAATACTACCAAATAGATTAATACAGTTCTTCTAACTTGTTAACTGTGAACACAAATGTTAATCAATCCGGGATTTCAAATTATTTTACCTCAGTTATTAGGAGCAAAATTAATTTTTCCAAAATGTGTAACGCACAGCTGCTTATACTATAAGTAATTATAGCCTACTCTACCAAGAAAATGCTAATCATCAAGCTCAGTCCAAGACATTTACCTAATGCACATCTACACCAAGTTTGAACATTTGATCTCAGAGACACAGTTATTGTTTCGCAAAGTCTTGACCAATGAATTTTCTTATCTCTGTTTAGCCTAAGCAGACAATGCTCATTATCAACTCACACCCGGGGGTTGGATGGCCGAATGGTTAGCATGTACGCGCGCTGTATCATACCGTCTGTCATTGAGTCAACTGCACGTCCGGTTTCGATTCCCCGGTTGTACGTGACAAGGAGTAGGGTCGCCTGTCCAATCTTGTGGGTTTTCTCCGGGTCCTCCGGCTTCCTCCCACTGCTAAAGACCCCTACACGCAAGCGAATTATTGAAATAAAAATGAACCACGTGTTAGTCCCGAAATGACCTAGTTTGTGTCGAGTGAACGTTAAACCCCATTTCTCTCTCTCAACTCACAACCAAAAACAGACAATGGGGATTAAAGGGGGTTAACTCTTGATAAGAACTCTTAATTTATTTACATGTAGTTTATGTTGGACCTTTCATGATACTAAATAACTTGCATTAAATTAGGTATATTTCTTTAGCTAAAAGAAATATACAGTACTTTACTTCACCGTAATCACCTTGACTATATATTTTAACGCATAAGAAGTAGCAAACAATGAGTTTACAATACGACAGAGAATCCAACACAAACATGTGGGTGGTACACCTTTTTAGAAATGCGGGGTCCCACAAGAATAACCCAAGACCCTTAAATCTACATGAATATCAACATAATATCACTCAAGGCAAATGTTAGTCACAATGTATGTTAGTATTGGAACATAATCCTGCATCAATACACATTAATGTCAAACCAAACTAATAATACATTTAGATATATAACATTTCATTTTCTATGATCACTTTATTACTGTCACAAAACTAATAAAGTGTTATCATTTATCAATATTGAATAAAATTAATGGTCTATTATTCTTCATTATATTTGAACCTCTGAACAATTTATTACATTAATACATTATGACATTTAACAGAATACAATTGTTATGGGAAACAGTTAGTTAGTGTTAGTTGTATTTTACGTCCGCTTCCACCGAGGTGATATCACTGGTTTTATTAAATAAACATTTCAACAACTCTCTAAAAGGAATACCAGTCCAAATATGTGAAATTCTGGTCAGTATTTACAAAGATATGACAAATTGAAAATTCCATGTATGTAAAATGACTGAAACCATCTTTATTTGACATGAACCGAATTGATGGGCCTATTTTAAATCCAATTTAATCCATGCTGACAGATTATCTAATGTTAAATAATCAATCTGAGTACATATTAGCATGGTTTCATACTCCTTGCAGTGTTTCGTTTGATTACACCAAATTCCACTCAAGCACTGCTATACTTAACGCAAATTTCTATCCCAAATTATGACTGGTCAATATTCCACTAACAACCAATACCTAACTGCGTAACTATATCATTCGGGTTCAAACAGAGCCCCAAATTTTGTTTACATAACGTTACGTCAAGACTTAAGAAATTTATTTCGCCAAATGAACCAGTGCATAGCAGAATATTGCTACAAAGTAAATGGCTACAAAGTAAATAATATTGTTTGGAGACGAACAATACTTTCATCGTTTTTAATACCTTACACTGTCCTAAATTGAACCGGAAGAATAGACACACTCCCTCAAAACCTCAAGTCAATCCAGCAATGGCCAGAGTGGGATTTCTCAGGGCGTTGCTTGAAGAATATGGCATGGTTTAAGCTTTGAGAAATTTGATATTTTTCAAAAAATGCAAATCATACATTGATACTTTAATACCAGCTCCACATAAACCTGATATTCAGAAGAATTTATAGTAAAATCCATATAGTTGTATGGTTTCTAAATATTGGCTCGTAAAACTAAACCAATGATATATATGATAACATGAATATGACGACAGAAATAGTTATAGTTACCTGAATAATCATTTAATGCATCCAAACTAACAGCTCGTAGTCGATCTATCTTAGAATAAACACTTGCAGGTGTGGCATATATATCATCTTCACCTGAACTAGTTTCATCCAAACCATCAAGATCCAGGAATTCTCCACATCCATCATGGATCATCTGAATAAGCATCATGTAAGCTTGAGAATACTGTCGCATAGTCACTGAAACATAGGCTGATTTGTCACACCCATAAAGTTTACGTAGTTCTGTTTCTTGAAATAAAATCATTTTATCATATTCTATTCTTTTCTCTAGGATTTGCATTAGATTTTTTAATGCTTGATTCATTACTGCTGGCTCTACCACATTAAAAACAGTTTTGTTTTTGATCAATCGATCTTGAATATCTTCTTTGTGAACTTGCAGCATACGTTGATGACTTGCTTCACTAGGAGCAGGGCCAGAATTTACACTACTTTCAGAAGGATTTTTTGCAGACAGGCTAAATTCTAACAACTTCTGTAAAGCAGTTTTGTAAAGGGAAATAACTCTCTCAAACTCAACTTTCAGTGCATCATGAAGACTTATCATTTTGCTGTTGGATCGTCCAGATACAGAATTGACCATCCCATGTTTACCAAGATTTTTTAAACACTGGTCAATGTTCTGTTTCTTTTGTCTCACCATTTTATAAAACTGGGGTTCTGCCACAGTGATAATCTTCAAAATATTTCGACAGTATGGAAAATACATGTTACAGTTCTTGTCTTGGTTATTAGAATTTGGTGGTCGCGAAAACAAGATGACCATGTTTTTTAGTAACTCATCTGTTCTTAACTGCTGAAGAGGAAAACTGGTCAAACAAGCTTGCTGTACTTGGGTGTAAATTGCATCCAACACATTTAAACTCTGAGGTACATGAAGATGCAGATGACTTATAGGCAACTCAACTAAAATGGTCTTAACAATATCAGTATTCAATCTAGAAATAAATCTAGCACATTCTTCAAATCGTTTGGTTTCTACTAAGGTCAAGATCTTGTTGGTGGAGTAATGTGGGGTAATATCTGTTGAATCCATTGTAAATGTTTCATCAGGAAATGAGTCAGCCCAATGAACGCTCTGCCACACATGTGCCTTCTCTTTTTTGACCACTGGATTCTGTTTTTGATAGCCATGATAAGATGACAGTCTTCTCACCTGAATAATGAAAAGAAACATTATAATCATATTATATTTAAAGGAGCCAAATCGCTAGCATTTGGGACCTAGACATTGACACAAATGGGTCGCAACGCATAATTCAATGTATATAAACTGATTTACATTCAATCATTTCGGTTTTTACTGTAATTTCTAATCAGTTATGTTCGGCGGAATAGCCAGAAGTCTCAATTGGATGGCAATCTTTAGCGTCTGGTTATTCCAGTCTACACAGATAGTATTTATTGTGCGCGCTCTCCAGATAATAATATGGCATCACCACATGACTTATGGAATATGTCTAGTCTTGTTCTTCGAGTCCCTGGTTACAAATAGCACTGTAACGCATTCTGGTACACTATTCGTGTACCATTGGTAAAATGTTTATTTTGTCTTCAATATTGGATATCAGAAGCCCATCTTTTCACGGTAAGATCATGATATCAATGTTGATTTAAAATGGTAAATAATTTGTGTTTTCAGTGTCGAAGACTTTGGATGATATTGAGTTAAAGACTAAGCTACATGTTAGGTACATGTTATGTCAGGGCACTGATCCTAATCCATCCCTGCTGTTAAGTTAATAAGAGTCAGATATTCTGAAAATCAGAATGATGATGTAAGTTATCCCCCCCCCCCCCAACACCCCTTGAATCTCCCAAACTGGGCCGATTGAAAATATATTTATAACAAGGTTCCAACTTGACCCTGAGAATATCTTTAAACTTAGCCCCCCCCCCCCCAAAGTCCTGATGGCCTGCATATAGTTGTGGCAGAGGATTGGCAGAGGTCAAGCAAGCTCTCTATATACACTACCCCCTTAATCATTTGCACTGTAAGAACCCAGCTGCATATCGCATGACATATATTTGAAACTACCCATGCCATATATATAGTATTGCAAATTATGCCCCCCACCCCCGTTTCTACATTAGTTCTCAGGGCACTGCCACAGTCAAGATGGCATATCTTCAGTAACAATTAAATAATCAACAGAAAACGTTATATTTGAACAGTTTAAATTTTTTAGATACTTTACCCTCGGCATAACATATGAGGAGGTCGATTTTCTCAAATTCATCATTGTTTATAAGATTTCGTTTCTGACAATGTCAGATAACTAGCCTACAGATAAATCATATCTCATGTGACGTAATAAGCTGTGAATCTGCTGTATGAAATCATCGATAAGCTGGATGGTATTAAGTTCTAGCAGATATCACACGAGTGTGAAGTGTGCGTTTTCGTTTGTTCAGCGGATTAAAATTTTCAAACTTCGGTCAGCCATTTTATCTTATTCATCTTATCGTCGCGTTCTAAGGGCAGATAATGGGTTGTTGACGTCAGTTTTAATGTGAAGGAAAACAGCCATCGACTGAATTGTAGTCGGCCGACAGCGGTTTATTTATTGGCCGAAATAACAACAAAGGATTGCTTCAATTTCCCGCCATTTATTTCAGTCACGTGGTCGTGGATAGTCAATTGAAATGATTTCATTTGTTATCACTGACATGGCGTGTACAAAATTCATTGTAGATCACTTGTTTGATATTGCCCATTGCATGCATTTGCTCCTTTCAGAAAATCATCGACAAGCTGCTCCCATCTATACCTTCACGAATAGTTTGTTATCTGATTTTTGCAGACTGTCTAAAATGTGGGTTCATAATTCTACTCAATATGCTGCTAAGACATTTTAGTATAAGATCTCATATTAAAATCCTTCATTATTATAATGTTACGGGAACGGCTCTATTCAATACGCCTGTACAACTGACATAATACGATAATGTTAGAATACCCCATTCCTTTGTATCGGTCCCGTAACTTCAGAACACACCTATATTTAAATGAATATGTCAAGCACGCAGTGGGTTACATATCTATATGCATATGACATGTCAACATTTCAGTGTAATGTACTGTAATGTACATCAATGTATATATAATCATGTTCAATTGTGCATAAACAATTATCGAATGTCATATTACACACCTACATTATATACAGGTTATGATTATAAAAAAATAGTATATACATTGTATACGTTAACAATATCTCCGTTTAAGTCTTACCTCTGTTATACTTCATTATTGATGCCGGTGGCTAACTGGCTATATAGTCAACATAAAGTTATTAAAATACCTAGATGGTCATATTATCAATCCAGGTAATGAGTGAAATTTACCGTTAAAATGAAAATTAGGTCAGGTAAACGTTGGTCTCGATTATCATGCCCTTTCAGGAGAATAAGCTAATTTCACGACTGGTTAACATACTTACTATTATATGACTACAAATTTAAAGTAATATTGAAGTGCCATTAGAAAATAAAGGATGTTGATCGCTATGGATTTGATAGATTTCATCTTTTTATTATTATTAAGGTGATTATTTAATAACCGATTTAAATTCTATATACGTGGCGGTTTCATTCTTCTGGCTTGCACTATTGAGGATATATAAAGGTAATGTGTTCACTACGAAAAAAAAACAGAAAACAGAAAACGAAAACAAACAAAGAAAGACAAAGACAAACACCTTTTGCCATTGCTACGATGCCCCCCCCCCCCCGATCCATTTAAATTTCGTCACGACGGACGTGTTCAAATAGTGACATTCAAATCAGCTATTGTAAAACCTTAAATTCAAGAACATCATAAGGTCTGTCAATGAGTCAACTGTCGTGGTCTCGATTCCCCGATAGTACGTGACAAGGAGTAGGGTCCCCTAGCTGTCCAACCTCGTGGGTTTTCTCCGGGTCCTGAGCGCAAGCGAAGCGAATTACTGAAATAAAATTGAACCATGTGTTAGCCCAGAAATGACCTAGTTTTTGTGTCGAGTGGACGTTAAACTCTCTCTCTCTGCTAGACAGAATAATTTATCACAGAGTCGTCTCGTGTCTGGCATCGTCCAAAGGGTGATTTTACAGACTTACGTTAGGTTTGGTTATTTTTGGAAAAAAAACATTTCGACAGATATAAGTTTATATAATTCATAAACAGCTAAAGCTTACATGAATATTCGAGCAAAGTCAGTATTTAATTATAAATTACACAAAAATAAAATATTGAATTGTTTAATATTATCAATATTAATTTTTTATATATAAAAATCTTAGTCGTTTAAAGGATTGTTCAATTTATTATATCTTTAAACCTACAATCATTGTTCTAAAAGGTTGTCCGCGTCATAGACTTAACATAAAAAATGTGGAAAAGGGCATTTGTAGACAAGACGGCGACACTGTTAACTCTAAACAGCCAAAACATGACCATTGTGTTATGATCGTGACGATCAATACTCATGGTTCTTTCAAATGTTTTTTGGGTTTTTTTTAAATTTTGTGTAGCATAAAATAGCATTTGTATTAATTAAAAGATGTCAATCAAAGCATTTGCTATAACTAATTTATAAAATAGATTAATCGTTTAAAATTAAATTAAACATAAGCTAGATGAGAGAGACTGGTTTATAGGTCTAAATCTACTTAGACATAGTAATTGTACTATTGTAATAAAAGTTGATTAAAGTAAAGCTAAAAGAAAAATAACGAGGTGCCAATTACCCTCACCTAAAGACATTTTGAGCATAAGTGAGGATTGATGGTTACTTTAAATCGTTGTGTTGAGGTTATGTAGTTAAATGCTTATCTTAATTAACTGTTATAATGGAAGTAATATGATCACTGGGGACTATCTATATTTTGACATTTTAATTAATGGCTCGACGTTTGTATGCCCATAGTTGCAACGTGTAATGCCGAGTCTGCATGCGTGAAGAAGTGACAGAGTCGACTCCATTAGTGCTTCATAGAAGTAATGACAGATCTGACAGTGGAATTTAAGAACTTTATTATTGTTATTTATGGAATGTGACCGACAAAGTGAACTTTATATCGAGGCGGAAAGCAAACGACAAAGAATTGAAGATCCAAACGTTACAACAGTCTATTGTCGATGAGAAAAAAATACGTTATGATTTAACTACCAGGAATCAAAATATAGTTTTAATGCCAGGTTCTCACTCCCACAATCCGCGCTACCATTGAAATCGTGGATTAATCGTGGATTGTCGTGGTGATCCTATCTTATTTTGAGTTCAGTCGTAGCAATCGTGTTGATCGTATCGAAACGTATCCGAACGTATCTGCACGTATACCAGATCGTGGACTCAATATGGGACAACCCTAGGTATCGTAATGAATCGCACGGCAGTGGGAACTTAGCATTACCGATTTTTTTGGTCCAGTTCACACGTTGTATATCGCGGGTCTAATCCAATGGGCTCTAGCGGCAAATGGAAAGTAAGTAATAACTCGTTAAAGTCTCTTTTTTTATTATTATTTTTGCAGGCAGACTTGGTGACTGACTAGTTGATGTTTTACGCCTGCTAATGCGACAGTCTTCAGCAATTCTTTAAGTTGGGACGGGCCAAAACAAGAAACGGGTAGCAATGATCTCTGTGTTAAAATTATATTGTGAACGTGTTTAACTAGTTTTATCATGTGACAATGGCTACACCAATATTGTCGGACTTTTAAACACTTTGTGTTGGAACGGCTCCAGCGAGACCCAGAAAACTGGATGTTCGCGTAAACTGGGTCAGCTGACCGGGTTCTTTTTAAGTGAAACCGCACTTAAGAAAGAGTTCACTATTTCAAGCAATATCTATGAATTAGAGATATAAGGTAATTTTGATTCAGTATACTGCTTGTGTCATATATTCTTGGTACTATACTAAATGTTAGTGGCACATTTATTAAACGAACGAAAAGGTAAAACGCTGACCGAAAGAAGAACAGTCATGTTAGATTTGTTTACACATAATACCAAGACATTATTAAACGCGTAAGAATTTACTCAAGAATAAGGTTTTAACAGTGCGGACAGTAAATTTGACATTTAGGTCATCGTATGACATGTGTATAATGAATGGGTATAAAATATGGCTTTAATAAATCCAAAATAAATAGCACCACACTGCCCACCCTCCCTTGAATAATGGTTTGCGCATGCAGTCTTCACTTAAAAAAGTAGTTCTCAACCGAGTTGTACGCAGTCGGTTAGTGACAAAAAGGGTCTTGATAATCGCGAGTGTTTTGGGAATTTCCCAAATTGCATTACGCATTTTTAGGTTGATGGAACGCTGAGCTCAAAGTTTATGGAATTCAAATTTTTTAACATTTAGCCTGTCGTCAATGGAAGAAGATGATACAATAATTATTCTAGCTTCCGGTACAAGTAGCGAAGACGACGCATGTATAGAAACTTTTATTCGTCGAAGAAGAAAGTTGAGACGCAAAATAAGGCATGGGGATGGCGGTAAAAATGAGCACAAGTTCGATGCTAAAGACAAATCAAAATACGTTTTTCCAAGAAAGTCTAAACAAATCGAAACTTATAAATCTGAAGGAATGTGTTGGTCAGATTTTAAAACCAGAAAGGTGGAGAAAAAGGAAAATTCGGAGAATTCTCTCTGGTCCCTTCATAATGATAATGCTAATACCGGTAGTGGCACTGACACTGCTGATCCTAATAATAATAGTAATATCGGTAGCAACACAGACACTGCAGATCCTAATATTGGTAGCGACACTGACACTGCAGTTGGCACTGAAGAAGAAATATGGAAAAATGATATTGAACTTGCAATGGTTTTAAGTCTCCAGGTAAGTGTAGTGGAAGCAGGTCGTCTCATCCCACTACCAGTTCATCCCGAGCTGTTTCATCCGGGTCCTTTCACCCCACAAATTTAAAAACCGTTATTACATGAATTTTTAATATTTTATTTATACATTAATACCAATAACAATATGTCAATGCAATTTATCATGAATAATGTCCAACTCCTTCTTTTGCATACACCTTAGCTTATTTTCCGAATATTTTATTTATACAATTGTCAATGCAATTTTAACATGAATAGTGTCTAACTTCTTCCTTTGCATATGTTTTAGTTTATTTTCCGAATCCACACCACTTCTCGACATCAATTTCACTAAAATTACATCGCTTACAAGTGATGCTCATAGCAAAACACTCAACTTGTAATACACTGTATAGTCATTTTCATGCCTAACAGGATTGCCAGTGATAGAACAGTCTATCAAAGAATAAAATTCCACGTAGTCACTATTTCGACACATGTTATCTTTAGATGTTCAGACTACTTGGCACCTCAAATAACCCATCATTAAAAGAAAGCATGCAGTGTCCACCTTACAAAGGGTTCCATTGGTTTACGATTTATTTTATAATTTAGCACATAGTTTAGACCACAATGTGTTACAATTCGCATTTTGGTATTCTAAATGAATTCTTATTCGGAATTCTTATATTTGGAGTTGTTTAGTTTCATTTCGTGTACGGAAATTAAATCAACGATCAGTTTTAAAATTAATTATGTTTTCGAAATAATATCAATCTAATTTGTCTTATTTAAAAGGGGCTCCCGCGCAATTTAGTTGATTATTTGGTAATACGTAGAGTTCATGATGTATTTTGGCGAGTGATTAAGCTGTCAATATGTAATTATAAAATACAGTGCACTCTGTCATATCCGACATCGTACGGGATCATTACAATATGTCGGATTATGCATAGTGCCGGAATATCCAGTTTTCTCAAAACCGGAAATATTGTAACTTCGAAAACCGGAAGTATTATTATCATGTAGCTTCGAACATAGAAGCGCTCTTGAGCAACCAGTTTGTTGGATATTCAGCGCTTTATAAATAGATTATTATTATTATTATTATTAGAACTTTGAATCACCAGAATGTTATTCCCTTTAAAAATGATAAACCTTTCTGTATATTCAAAATTTTATTACATTAATTTCTATTTCATTTAACATGCGTAGGCATTTTGAATAGGTCAAGTCTGTCGTTAATTTATCTTCTTCGCCGTCTTCAGTTGATCGCACTCTTGTCTTTGCTATCACGTGTTCATTGATAATGGGCGTACTCAATTGAACGTTCCGGAATTGAATTCTCTCAATCCCAAAAATAGCGACAATCGAGTGAAAATGGGTACATCGGCTACAACGCATGCGTCAACTGGATATATAAATATCTCATCCAACCATGCAGCCGAAACCTGTTTGTCATGTTTAATTACGTCACAATTCTACTCACACCACCCCCGTCGTCAGGACTGACAGAACTGTGACAGGACTGAATTCCACGTCACTTGATTGCAATTCTGTCAATTCGGGACGTTCCGGACTGTGATTGTGAATCGAGCATCCCCAGGTCGTCGTCACACGGTTCAAAGAGATCCGTAGGGTGACCAAACTTATAGGTTATTCAGGTTCAATCGACATGTGCAACGAATGTTTCCAACAGGCGCTAGGATTATTTTTACGACTGAATTCAGGGGAAAATTCATGGATATTCTTGAGTATTTGTCACAACTGTCGTACAAGAGATTAAAATTATCAAAGTAATCAACAAAGACCCACAGTAGCGAGTTTTAATCTCACAGATAATTGATTGGTGATTGCTTGTTAATCTTTTGTGGCTTCACACCGATCCAGTTTTAATCTCACAGATAATTGATCGGTAAGTGTTTGCTTCACACCCACCGATTGAAAGTCGGATTATATGGTGTCGATTCAATGGAAATCGCATGACAGGGCGGCTGATTGGTGTCGTAATCCGGAACGTACAGAGGTCGAATTACCCAGAGATTTTTTGGCTGAAGTAATAAGGGAATAAATCGGGACATGGAAATGGTGTCGGATGTAACAGAGTGCCTGAGTAATCAGAGGTCGGATGTGACAGAGTGCACTGTACCTTTTTATAAAGAAGATAAATGATGTTAGACATTATAAACTAACAAACAATACCGTATACTTTATTACAAAAACATTGGTGAACTAATCTAAAATCATAACGGCAATCAACAAAAATCGACGAGTAAAACTTATTTATTCCATACATTATTGTTTATTTAACAATAAGTAAGTGTTTAACAGTTTATTTAACAATAAGTACAACTCAGTTAATTGACTGCTATTATAATAACAAGGGGGATGAAACAGCCCGGGATGAAACAGCCCGATAAAAAATTAGGTTGGGATGAAACAGCCCGGGGTGAAATGGTTGTGGGATGAACTGACCCGCATCCAGTGTAGTAAACAGGCTAGACTGTGGAACTAGCAGTGGGATAGGTGACTTGCCTGAGATTATTAATTGCTGGCTGTTGAGTGAAGCTAGGCAGGATTTATTATAAAAACTGATTTATTTTGTTGGTCTTTTTACTGTAGATGGGGGGATCACGTGGCTAAGTGGGTAAGACACTGACTCGCTAGCCTGGAGGTCAGGTGTTCGATCCCTGCATTGGCTGAGAAGTTCATCCAGATTTTTAGGCGTGGTTTCCCCTTGTCGGTGATGCAGGACGGAGGGCCTGACAAGGACAGCTGTCTAGTCGTTTGGATGGGACGGAAAAACCGAGGTCCCGTGTACACATTGGCGTGCACGTAAAAAGATCCCTTGGCAGTTGGAATTCGATATAAGAGTAGGCTGTAGTGCCGCTGCCCGGGCAAAATTTCCCTCAGCACACTGTATGGCATATGCCCGTATTCATTAGCCAAGGTTAGGAGCAGAACAGTAGGACGTTAAACCCCATTTCATTTCATTTCATTACTGTAGATTGGTACTGGGCATTGTATCATACCTTATATTTTTATTCTTCCATATTTTCATGTGGATGTATATTGTCGTCCCCTGTCCGTCAGGAATAGTTCCTTTAGGTAGGAACAGTGTCTGATCTGACTACATGTCCACTCACCGTTGCTGTTTGTTCAGCATCGGATGAACCACAGGGCGTGAAGACCACCCTCCCCACATGTGGGGGTCCCCCACAAAAAATCTCATTTGTGCAAAAAGCGCTGTGAGCAATGAGCATGGTCGGATCAAGGACTCCATCTGCTAGTGTTCCTCCATTGATCATTTTGAACTCTTATAGGGGAACCTGTCGATGCCATAATATTCATACAGACGATTGAAAGATGGAGTGTTACAGGGAATTTGGCTTAGATTGACAGTTAGCTGGATTGAACCTTGTATTATTGTAGGCCTACATATATGGTTCTTATTCTTAGTTTTCGACATTCAAGAGAAATCGACCCTGGTTGGTTATGGCCTTCACGGATATGACTCTCTGTATCAAGGTCTCCCTGTTATTTATCACTGTCCGACTTCAAATTAGGTTTGATGTACATATGTAGTTACATTCATATGTGTGGAATAATACTGCCTAAGTTCTGGACACATGTGTTCTGCTCAAGGTCCCAGGGCTCCCAGCATCAGGGGCTAAGTGAAAGGGATGCAGTGACACGCTTTGCGTTATTGTTTTGAGTTTTTGCACCTCTTGAGTTTTTGTGCCCCTTCGGAAATGGCAAAAAATCATGTGGTTTTCAACAACATAATTATTATGCTTAACCAGTGTTAAACATATGCTGTGGGTCAGATATGCTACAAATCGGCTCTAGCATGTTCCACACAGCCCAATATTACCCGCCCCACCCCCCTCCCCCCCACACACATATAAATATTGTTTTTGGAGGCCCAGATGGGATCTTGTTCCACATGCAAAATCATGTTTCACCACGCCCCTGCTCATCATGGTAAATCCGGGGCTGTGTTTGTCCCTATTATTAAGCTGCAATATGAGAATACCGCTCTACTGTCAACCCTGTTCAGAGGCTATTTTGGAATCATTACCATTTATTTTGCACTTCGATTCTTCTTTGTTGGCTAAAAGGAATCATTTCTCGCCACATAAGTGATACTATTTTTCTCTATGTATAGAATTATCCATGTCTGTATAAATTATAATTATTGATATTTTTTTCATATTTTGTTTGATTTCTAAGTACTTTTAGGATGACTAATTTTAGTAGTGAAATTTCGGAAAAAGTTTTAATTGCCGTGTGGGCATCCTCACAAACTATGGGCGATTATTAGGTGATTGGTTAAATGAAGACAAGTGAAGGGACCATCATTTGTGTAAAGCCTGAGCTTATGCTGCTACATGTACATGTAGCTGTCATTCAAGATGGCCATCTTGCAAAGTAATCTTTGGTCCATGCATAGAAAGCTTGGGTGTTTGCAAAATAATCACTAATTCCCCAGTCACTGGAAACATTATTATTTTCAATTTAATTACTGAAGTTTGAAACAATAAAACAATACTTGCATCGAAAGAGGAAGAATGGTATCGTGTCAACAAATGTGATCCTTCACAATATAAAAATCTTGTAATATTCAAAGGAAATGATGTAACCCATTGATTCTTTGTACAAGCTTACTATTTGTCATCCAATCTTTCCATCAGTTAACCACTGCTGTTTAGTGCTTAATGCATACATTATTGTTGATAATGAATTTAGTTCTAAAAAATAAACTTTTCAGGTTTTAATCAATAAAACCAAACTTTAATCAATAAAACCTAGTTTTAAACAATAAAACCAGGTTTTTATGATTGAAACCATAATGTTGATATGATCAATACATTGACTGACTTGAGTCAAACTGAGGATAATTGTACTGTATATTGTCACAGCGCTATCCAGACCTTGTATCTCATTTTTTTGCCAAATTTACATTTTTGCTTGTTCAGAATCAAATCCCAGTTTTGCATCATCTATCAAACATTTGTACCT